AAGTTGGGATGGATCAGTGGGGTTTCAGCTTCAGAACCTAGGCCCTCTGGGATACCCCCTTACGCTGTTCATAATTCAAAGTTACTAAGGAAACTGCTCACCAAAAATCTGGCATCAAATACTGTTTATGAAGCCAAGCCAGAGATCTCAAGTCAGCTGTCACCCAGTCACTTCTCTCATACCAGGGGATTTTCCCTGACTGCACATTGAATAAATACCTTCAGATCTGCCCACTTCTCCTCCTAATGTAGGCTGAAGGACTGCAACTTCTTCCTAAGTACTTCAGGATTCACAGGGTAGTTTTGGTGACAGGGCCTATGACCTATGGAGGAAAAAACCCTGCGCAATGTGAGGGTTCTGCTGTGAATGGGAATCATCAGACCAGCTGAAACGTCCTGCAGCCTCAACTGCGAAGGAGGGCCCTTCAGTGAAGTTGCCACAGATACACATAGGGGGTGAGAAGCCAACCCAAGAGGTTAGGGTTGGACCCCACCATAAACCATGCCCAAGTACAACACTGGAAAAGGCCAGATTTGGGTCTGTATTACTGACTTCAAAGTGATGGCAAACAAGGGAGGCTGGAAGCCAGGAAGGGAAACAAAGCCTCACTGCATCCAGAACACACTGCACTGATGTATAGATATTTAGGGACTGGATCAACTGCTGTAACTGGGAGAGCATCTCATGGCTGGGACAGTGAGGAGAAATAACTATATGGTGACATCTCTGCTTTGACTTCTCCCTTTACATACTTCAGACTCTTGGACTTTTGAAGTGCAATGATGAAGAGATAAGAAATAAAGACAAGTATTATGATTGATACATATAATATCATGCTGCTTTCATGATAGTATCTTCTCTCTCATGCAACTAAACCAGCAAGTGATTGCAACTGTGCTCATTAGTCTCCAATTCAAAGAGAAGCTCCTATCTTCATGCAACAGCAATCAGGGATCTTGCTTACATAAGAAGCCTTGTGTAACAAAAACCAATTTCAAATCAATGCATGTGCTCTTTTTGATCAAGTGATTCAGTTGAGCACATGAAGATTCTTTCTTTGGCCATTCTGGCTGTAATTTAAATTTGCTTTTAAGCAACTGAAGCTAACAAGTTTGCCTTTCCTCAGAGTGCAGGTCAGTGGCCTGCAGTGCCAATTGACACAAGTCACACAGAAGCCATTGAAGTTATTTTCTGCACATTCACACAGCATGGATGCACTGAAACTGGTTTTGCTAGCTTGAAACTTGTCTAATTCAATCTGTGATCAGACTTAGCAAGATCAGCTTGACTAAGGGTTTTAATTCTTCCCATTCTGCTGGAAACACCCTAGTAAGGGCTAGAAGAGAGTTTCTAAATGACCTTCCACTTTCTTTTTCTCTGGTAAATGACAATTTTTCTTTCCTTGCATCTTCCATGGAGCTAGGATGACACGCCTGGGTTTTAGTCTGCCTAATGAGAGCCACAGTAAATGTGCATACAGTGCTGCACACTGCTAGAACAAACATCTCTGCCCATGTCCCTGGGTCACTGCCTCATCGCAGTGCTGCTCCAGGAAGTCCTGGGTGTTTCTGAACTTCTGCCAGCCAAGAGACTGCAAGGCATGGGTGAAGTGAAGCCTGGCACCCTCGGATTTGTGCACCTACATGGGCTTGTGGAGCCTGTGCCTCAGCTGTAGGTCTCCCTGTCCTGCTAAGTAGCACTGAGGTCCCTCAGTGGCCAAGGGCTGGATGTGGAAGGAGGGATGCAGCTAGCTGTCTGTTCCCTTAGGTCATAGGAGCTCTAAGGGCTCCACATGAGAAGATTCCAGCATCTGAGTCACTGCTCAGGTCAGAGCACAGCACCTCCTGGCTCACCCTGCTCTGCAGTGGGTAACCCTGACCTCACAATCTGATTAATAAGGTTAGTTAATAGCAACAACAACTACAATAGTGATGTTAGTTAGGGAAGTAACTGGTTATTTCACTCCCTTGTGGGAATTACCACAGAGGCATTTGGGGTTTTCTGGGACCCACAATGTGCTACGGCCTGGTCCAACCTCTGCAATTTGCTCCTACTCTTCCCTTGTCCTCCTGATGGTTCCTAGAGTACATTTACACCCAGAATAAGTAACAATGTCCCTGTCATTCCCTTAATACCAAGTGAATCTTCTCTGAGCAAGGAGGGAATGAAGGTAGGGGGTAACCTTGGGAGCTCGCAGCATCCTCAAGGACTTCCATTTGGCAAGAATGACCCCAATGTATTCCTCTAGCAAGGCTTCTTAGCGGATCTGCAAGAGTAAGGGCAGTCATGAGTTCTTTGCACCACTCCAGACCACTGAGTAGAGTAAGTCAGAAACATGTTCCTAGATCTCCCAGACTACTGATAGCTCAACAGAGGGCTCAGTGCAGCAGGGAGATGAAAGCCACAGTATCTGCTGGGGTTGCATTCAAATGCACCAGAACTGGTCTTTCAAGGTAATTATACTTGTTTACTGGAATTGAATATACATGTCCCTACAAGATGCCTCACAGAAATAAAGCTTATCTACCCATCTAAGGATCTGTACACATTTAAGTAACAAAATCTAAAATCAAAAGTTTCCTTTGTAGTAACTAGTCCCTATAAACTAGGAGGCAATGATGGATTGAGTGTATACCAAGTATTGATTCGGAGTGTTTTGACATGCAAACAGATTTGACTGCTAAACTAGTTTGGTAGCTTTATTGTGGGATGCTTAATACAGAGTTCATTAATGCCTGTGCAATATATATTTTTTAGAGGTGTTTTTTCCTGTGTATAATAGAAAACAAGTTGATTATCTCCAAGGCTCACTGTTGAGGAGAATAAGGCAATTGTAGCACAGGGGACAGCCCCTTGCTGGGAAGCTCACTGGGAAGCAAAGGGGCTCTGTGCAGCAGTGGGTGCTGGTGGGAAAGGGAGGGTGATCCCAGCTAAGCACTGGTATGGGAAATCTGGATCCAATTTTTGCCTCTTCCACAGATGCTTCCTATGGTAAGGGACTTTACCTATTGCTGTCCCAGTCTGTTGAGACAGTGGATTATATGCTGTGCCTCACCTCACTTTTATCTATAGTTTGTACCTAGTTTAGCTTGTAGGGTATTTTACTTCTTTTTTGTAGTTGTAAGATTTTAGGGACATGTTAGCAAGAATTCTGCCATGCACTATGGAAGAATCCTGTCCCTTACAGCACCTAAGGATTCCCTTGTATTGCAAACAAATAATTGTAATGGAAGAACTAACTAAAGAAAAGCATCCAAGGAGGCTAAAATCTGGACCATTTGAGAAAGTCTGAAGTGTTCCGTTTTCTTCTCTTTTTTGCCAGTCCTCCTAATGTCAGTATTTTCTCACTGTCTGAGGTATTCACAGTTTACAAACTCCTCTCCTATACATATTTCAGCACTCCTTGAGTGTCCAAGCTTATTTCTCTGGTCTAATCTTTTATTCTCCCTGTAACAGGCAGACTGTGTCTGGCCATTTGGGAAATAGTTCATAATTCCCTGCTTAAATAACTGCCTTTTGATAAAGGTCCAAGAGAGCACTCAGAGAGCTGGTTTGTTTTCAGGGATGGAGCAGACAGAGCAGAATGATGTTGCCTGCATACTAAGAAACTTGGCCCGAGGCCCACACACACACCAAAGGCAAAATAAATAAATAAGCATCTCAATCAATCTTGACGTCACCAGGAAAAGGGTCACTGCCATGTGGAAGGAGACATCTGGCCACTGAAGTCACTGCTCTGGAAGGACGCCACTGAACTGTTCACATGCTCTGCAGCACAATAGGATAATATGACAGTCAAAAAAGGTAAAAAACAGGGGGTGGATAAGTTCTAATTGATGCTGAGTGAGAGGAGGATTAAGGAAGGAGCTGCCTCCTTCTGCAAACCTAACATCTAACTTTTACCTGATGAAAAACTCCCATGTTTCCAACGCTAGACCAGCCTGTCATCTCACAAGACATTGTCCATTAGACTTTCAGAAACAGCTCTGGAACAAGGAAGAGCTGGATCTTACCACACAGCTAGAATGGAAACGTGTGGAGGAAGGCCCTTTCCACATTCGCATGTGCAGGGCTAAGGAAGATGCACTTGCCCTGGTATTTGTGTTACCTGCAGCTGTACACAACCACAACCACAGACACAAAATGACAGTTGTTCAGAGTAGCCAAAGCAACAGACCGCTACAGTCTTCCACATGCATCTTGTATTCCAAAGAATTATCTCTAAACACATTTAAAGGAAAATGCCAATTGTTCTATTTAATAAACAACAAGGTTTTGAGAAGGAGCAACAAGAATTGTCTGCGGGGAATGAGAAACCTCTTGATAACTCTTTCCCTTATACACACAACCAAGTTGCTTCTGCAGGCTATTGTCTCTCTTTCCCTCTGTCCCCAACCAGACACAATATTGAAAGCAGCAGGGGATTGTTTGCTATGGGAGCTCTGATCTTCCCTTTACAGCACCAGGGCATCCCAGCCCATCCAGACACCAAGCCAGGATGCTCCTGGCACAATGGAGCATCTGCACCCAGGACGTGGAGGCTCCTCTCCAGCCTTGGGCATTTCTGAACCAGCCTGGTTTAAAAGCAGCACAGCCAAGACCGAGTCTTTGTTGTCAGAGCCCGGATTCCTTCAAGACCGCTAAAAAAATCCACCCTCCGAGAGATGGGAATGCGACTGCCTGGAAAACGCCCGTTTCCCAGCACTTTCCAGCTGATCCCCGCGGGTGCTGCCCGTTCTCCCGGTCACAAACGGGGGGTCCGGCGCTGCCTTGCCCGTTCTACAACCGGTCATTTCTCATCTACACAGCGGCCGAGCGGGGCGGAGGGAGGGATGCGGGGCATCGGCGCCCGCAGGCCGGCGGCGGCGTGTGGCGGGGCCGGCTCCCCTCTCCCCACCGCTGGCCCGTGCCCGGCTTATAGAGGCCCCCCGCCGCCTAAAGCGATTACGGGAGCGCCCCGCTGTCCCGCTGCTCCTCCGCAGGGGCTTCGCGGTGCTTACCGGAACCGGGGCGAGTCCTTGATGCACTCCTCGAACTCCACCGTCATCCTGCCGGCTCGGCCCCGCGGCGCCTTCAGCGGAGGAAGCGCATCGCCCGCCGGCAGCCAAGGACGCGGCGAGCGACCGAGCGACTGAGGCAGCGAGCGAGCGAGCGAGCGAGCGCCCGCCCCCCGCGCCCGCCGCCTCAGCGGGATGAGCGCGCCCGCCGAGCGCCGCCGAACGCCACCGAGCGCCGCCGAACGCCGCCCAACGCCGCCCAGCGGCGCGAAAGGCCGGTCTGGCCCGGGCCCAGACTGGGGCCGCCGGCGGGCAGAAGCGGAGAGCAGGGCCGCTGCGCCGGCAGCCCGAGGGTCCTCTCCCTTGGAGCGAACAGGCGGGACGGCGGGGTCCGTGTCCCTGCGAAACGCGGCTCCCTTCCGAACGCTCACCCGGGGCCTTCGCCCCTCTTGCCGGGCGAGGGTGGGCTCTGGCAGGGCACTCGTTTGAAGCTTGTCTCTGGCTGTGGCAGCGATGCTTCGAGCATCACCTCACACCAAGCGATCAGCCTGAGGTGCGGCCGCCATTTCCACATAGAGCTGAGCGCGCTGATGGAGATAAGAGCGTCCAGCACAATCCCATAGTGGCAGTGTCAAAAGGATTGGCATCAATCCTGTTACTACTTAATCTAGTTTTTAATTTTCTATACTCAATGGATTTGCTGCTGCCATCAGCCGGGCAGTAAATCTGCAGTAACTCCTCTGGAGCCAACGTAATCACCTGAGGAAGGAAGACATCTGGGCCTGTGGGTCTGGCCAAATAGATCAAGTTTGCTGCAGGACAGAGCAGTGTGATGTGGAATGGATAAAGGAGGCTAATGATGATGGGTTTAGTTCTGATCCTCCAGCCATCGAGCACCACAGACAGAACAGTATAAACCACGTCATTCGCTGCAAGTTGAATAGGAGTTCAAGACTGGGAGAAGGGCCTGAAGTGTAAATCATCACCTTTTAAGAGAATGCATCCCGTGTAACACAGACCTAAACAAAAACAAGGGCCAGAGCATCTGAATCCACGACAAAATGGATCATGATGAGGCCTCACCACAGGCACGGACTGAGCCGTGATGAAATGAGATGTTCTGTGACATTTCTGTGCACAAACTCCAGCCCAGAGTCACCTCTAGAGCAGGCTCCCATTTCCATCTGAGTTCCCAGACCTGCCTGATTGCTCAGGCCCAACCAGAAGTATCAGTGTGCGAGCAAAAAGCTGACTTTTTACCACAGATATCAGATGCTGGAGGGTTCTGAGGAAGGCAGGAGAAAGAATCAGCCCCTCAATCCCCTCCATCCAGGAGAAGGAGCAAGCTGACCTCTGGTGGCCTCTGTTTTATGTAGTTCCATAAGGTCAAATCAACACCGTTTCCATTCCCTTTGGTCCTCCCAACAAGATGAAAGCGTGGGGATGTTTCTGCCTGCGTGTGTATGCACAGGCTCCGGGATTACAAATTACCACCCTATTTAGAGCCGAGAATCATCAGTTTCATTATAAAAGCCTCTGGAGGCCATTGTGCGAGTTGAAAGCCGGTTGGATTTTCCTATTCAAACCAGATCCCAGGTTTGTATGAGGGAGGCAGGGATTTTTCTGTTGCTCTCCCTGTTTTGCTAATGAGTTGGGCTATTGTTTGCTCTGGTTTGGGGCTACTGATGGTACACACAGATACTGCAGCTTAGGAAAGATGAGGGAAGATTTTAGAACACAGAGCATAGCCATGAAGAACATCTGCAGCCTTTGTTTTATTATCATTATCTTGGCCTATTTTTGTCCCTGTAGCTGTTATTTACGCTCAGTACATGGTAGCCCACACACATCCTTTCACAGGCTGAAAGAGGTGAACATGGCTTACCTGAAATGCCCGTGATGTTTTCTGCAGGGACTTTAATGTGGCCGCTGGCTGAGTCAAGAGTAGTTTCATGTGGAGAAGGTTCACTGGGTCATTGAATCAAACTGGTTTGTGTTGGAAGGGACCTTAAAGCTCATCTAGGTCCCCACGGGCAGGGACCCCTTCCACCGGAGCAGCTTGCTCCAAGCCCCTGTGTCCAACCTGGCCTTGAGCACTGCCAGGGATGGGGCAGCCACAGCTTCTCTGGGCACCCTGTGCCAGCGCCTCAGCACCCTCACAGGGAAGAGCTTCTGCCTAAGAGCTCACCTCAGTGTCCCCTCTGGCAGGTTCAAGCCATTCCCTTTGGCCTGCTGGATGGGAACATCCAAGCCTTTAAGTCCCCAGTCCCAAACTCACAAGTGAATTGTGGAGGGGTGCTCACCATGCCTCACACTGCACATTTACGGCCCCATAAACCATGTTTTCTGTGGGAATTATCTTCCTGCTCTGCCACTTTTGATGCCTTATCTGACTCAGGAGTCAACCACAAGTGTGTCAGAACAGCCCAAAGGCTCAATTTCATTAGAAACGGACACAAAACCCCAAACTTAACTCCTGCTCGGGTCATTTCTAATGGCGAATGGCAACGTAAAGAAATCCCATCACTGACAGAACCTGCCCGCAGGAACACTTAATATCTGAAGAGCTCTGGGAGGATGAAACACAGGATTTGAGAGGGATTCCTTCCCTTGCCGTGGCTGCCTCAGCCACCTTCACCCACACTGCGCTCCTGAGGTAACCGTACGCCCTCCATGGCGCTGCCGCCGCGCCGCCTCAGCGAGCCCGCCCCACACGCAGGCGGAAGCGAGCGGCGGTGGGCGGGCCGCCGGCGGGAAGCTGGCTGAGGGGAGCGGGAGGCCCGCAAGGCAGCCCCCGTTGTAGCCATGGTGGTTTGTGCCCCAGCACGGTACCTAGTGTTCTTTCAGTACTTTGGCACTAGATATAGGTAGGTGCCTCAGCTGCATCCTCGCTGTGAGCGGTGGGACTGAACCAGCCCGTGCTGAGGGGCGATCGTCACTGAAAGGGGTCAGCCCTGAGGGGGGTCAGCCATAAGGGGTGATGGGAGAGCTGTGGAAGGGATGGGTGTACGTGGTGCTTTAGGTGAGGGTTAAATCCATGCTGAGAGCAGACAGCAGGACTGTGCTTTCTGCTGTGCACACAAGTGTAAGGAAGGGGATGGTTTAGGCAGGAAATGCATAAAATAGGCACAGAGAGAAACATCAAAGGATGGAGAAAGAAGGCAAACTTGTGATCTCGGGCTGGGGCTCAGGGAGGACAAGCGGCTGCTTCCTGCAGCGGTGGTGGTGGTGGTTTGCTGGGTGTCCGGTGGTGTGTCCGGTTCCCAGCCGTGCGGATGCTTGTGCTGCTCTGGGGGTGCAGCTGAAGTGGTCTGTGGGCTGAGTCCTGCAGGGTGGTAGCTGAGGTTGGGTTTCCCCAGGCCTTAAGCATCCCACATGTGTAGCTGTGCCTGTTTACAGGGAAAGAAAGCGTGGGGGAGAAGTGGAATTGTGCCTGTTTCCCTGAGGATTATACAGATTAATACTATAATGTGCCAAACCCCACAACTCTTACAGTGCATGGTCTGTATCACTGTGGGTACTGACCTAAAGTACTCTGAGTAGTTACAGGTAGGTTGGGTTTAGCCTCAGGATGTGTCTCTCTGCACTTCAGCTTTTGTGAATGGCTATGACTTCTTCAGTGGAGAAGGAAGCTCACCACAAACTGTCTTTGTGGCCTTTTAGTCACTTATGGCATCCACAGAGCCTGCAAGAAAGGGACCTGCACCAGGCAACCACCTCCTGCCCCTGAAATACTTTTATCTGTGGCTCATTTTCTAGTGTAATTTGTCTGCCTTATCTTTGTGCCAGCCTCCAGGTCCTGCTATAACAAATGGTTTGATGACTGTCCCCATTAACTTCTGGATGTGCTGGTGGGCTCTTTGGGAAACCTTGGGTCCTGATATATATCACTAACTATTGTATTTGTTTTGCTCTGCAGCGGGGTTATGGAGACGTCAAATGATCAGTCATTGATTGGAGTCCAGAATTACTTGGAGGTAGGTCCTTTGCTAATCATATTGTCATTAAAATTAAACTTCTTAGGGTCACATTGTTGAGTTACAGATATTATCAGAGATAAGTATTATTTTTAGATTGACACTCTGTAAGAGACACTTGCATAGTATTAAACACTATAATATTCAAAGCAGTCAGATGTTCAGAACTCATGTTAGTATACAGGTGAGAGAAATAAGGCAGGGTGAAGTCAAACACATTTAGATCCTGATAAAGATGTGACCCCTTTAATGAGAGTTGAAACTGAGGCACCTGAGAGCAGAACTCTGATTCTGAAAGCCCTTGCTGAAGTGCTGGCACACCTGAAGGGACTTAAGCCTGTGGGCTTCATATTAACACTTGTGGCTATGCTTCCACTTGTTCTCAGGACTGCCTTAGGCTGAGCTGTTTCTAGATCTTGCATTCCTTTGGGAGAGGATATATCTGATAGATATTTTCAGAACAAAACACACCAGGATATCCATTGTTCCAATGGAAGAAAAAAAATGCTTGGTTTCCATTCTTCTGGAGTTCTTCTAATATGCCGGGGGGGAAAAAAAGGTATGATCTTGTCATCACTGTTGTTCCTGTGCTGTTTCCAGGGGTTTCAAGAATGTAAGAATGGCTTTCAGGATGTGACTGCTGGTTGGGCTTGGAGTCAGTGTGCAATAGGAGTGCAAAAGGCCCGCTGTTACACCAGCAACTAGGAAGTGGGTCTCTTGCATAGGGTGAATGTTTGTGTAACACAACTGTAATTTAGTTACACACACCTGGATGTTTGTGTAACCCAACTGTAATTTAGTTACAAGCTGCTGTTGAGCTGCATTTATAGAGCAGTGCTGGAGAGTCCCATGTTCCTGTGCAGGGCAGGATTGAAAGGAAGGTGTGTTATTTTTCTCTTACCTTAGAAGCATGTAGTTCAAAATGAAGGCTGTGCCTGCTCAGAAAAGAGCTGATTGAGATTGCTTCAGGTGAGCTCGCACCTGTGTATTAATACTAACCCTTCTGTTACTCAGATCCCATTTTCAGTTAGACTCTCTAACTTGAGATCATGAACTGTAGCAGTTTGAAGGTAGTGCACCCACTGTGCTTGTTTGTGTGAGTCTATGCTCTGCATTAGCTTCAATCCTTGTCTGTTGAAGGAAAAGAGTCGTGGAAGAGCTGAAGGAGCTCTTCCTTGCTGTCCCACCCAGTCACTCTGTGGCCAGGACACTTCCACACCATGCCTTGGTTTGCTGAGTGAGGGTGATAGCTCATGCATGCTCTTGCTGAGCAGTCTGCAGAAGGAAAGTGTGATGAATTAATGGCTTGAGTAAGAGTTTTATGGGTGTATTTGTATGGCTTTTTGCTTGAGACCGTTGTGGAGAAAGTGTATAAATATTGTGCACATCTTGAAAGAAGAGCCCCAGAGGATTTTCTATCTCATTTATCTAATGCTCTGAACCATCCAGTGTCTCAGCCCCAGGCGCCGGACTTTGGGTGAGCCCAGCAGTTGTTTTGCATTATCCAAGTAACTTTGTTTTAACAGGCGAATGGGTAGGATGGGTGATTAAAGGAGAAAAGAAGAAGAAGAAGAAACAAAGAAAAAGATAAACTTATTTGGTGTTGTCTTTTCACAGTATCAGCACTTTGCAGGCCAGTTCTGGGATATGTGCTTTGCTTTCATGTGGTGGTATTGATGCTGGGCACTGCTGAGTGGAGCTGTGTCTATTAGAACCACATGGGAAGTCTTAAAGCAGCTTTAATAGAAAACTTCTGAGGCCTGTAGGAATTTATCTTCCTTCCTCCATTTCTGTGCAGCCTTGAACTTCCCAGCTTTCCAAAGCCAGGAAGGCAACTGAAGGGAAGGGCAAAATTAAATCTGTAATGAGATCCTTATTGTATTCAAAGTATGTCCAGACATTTGTCTGCAGTTGCAGGCAAGCAAATAACCTGGGAGGTGTAGACCTTGTGTTTCAACAGCTGTGTCATTAGAACTGTAATGAACTGGTTTGTGAGTGTGGTGCTGCAGTCTTCTGTGGGGTAAGGTAAGACAGCTGGACTGGGGCTGAGCAGAAGGCCTGTCCATAACCCTTTTGTCACTGTAAAGCACTATATCCTGCAGGATGCAAGCTTTTGTAGTCCTCAGTACTGCTATGTAACAGTGCTGTGGGACTGGCTGGAGGAAGTGGAGACTTGTTTTAGCTCAGGGACAGATGTAGAGCTTTTAACATAGCTTTGAGGAGGGTAAGCTTTGCAGACATCACTTTTGTTCTTTCTTGGAGACAGTGTATTTGTCTTGAAGTATTTGGAAGCCCAGCTTGCTAGTGATGGGTCCAAAACAAAATTCCAGACCTTGCCTCCCAGATGGGGAAATTTGAATCCTGTGACTTGGCTCCTCCAGTTCCTTGTGGAAACTTGTAGGATGCAGGACTTTATGCTCTGGTCTCAGTTCTTACAAATGTCCCTACTGTAAAAGAAGGTTTCCTATGTAGCACCTTTTGTTAAAGTGAGTAGCAACATGTTGCTTGTGCTAACAGGCACCATATGCAAGGCCTGCTAAGATCTGGAGAATTAAGTTCCCTTTCATGTTTGGTTTGAACATCTCCTGAGTGTGCTGTTTCCCATTGTGCTAGTGAATGCTGCCCAAAACTAATCTTCCCCACACGAAGCTCTGTTTGGCCAGCAGCCTTGTGCTAAGGCCAGATATTACTCCTCATGAAAGGAAAAGGGGGAGTAGGAGAGGAGAAAAAGAATATATGCAAACTTCTTACTATGCAAGGCAGCTTTGGTACAACCCCCCCAGAAACGGAGGGGAGGAGGAAGAAAGGAAAATGGACCAAGAGAGCTGTTATCTTTAACCCCCATTTCAATAGTAATTCAGTGGCATAGGAGATTGCTTTGGAAACCCTTTCTTCTAGCAGAAGCCACTTTCTCGGCTTTTTTTGTCCTGGCTTTCACTTCAACTTGTATCTGTTCCACTAAAAATGAGTTAGATTTTTATTAGTTTCATTTGAAATAGCACCCATTGAATCAGTGAGGCTGCGATGACTTGCAACCAGAAGCTTGCATGTTACTATTTATTAGAACACAGCAACCTATAAGTTGTGTAGCATTCCTGGCAATGCAGTGCAATCCCTTGTGTCTGTGCAGCTAATGGATTGTACAGTTCAGCTGCTTTAAAAGAGAAATGGACACTTAGTTATTCAAAAACATTCCTAATGCCTGTAGAGATAGATGCTGAGTATCCTGATGATCTTTTATGTAGACTTCAGGGAGAGAAGCAGGTGAACTTTTGCTTCCCCACCATAGGTGGTATACAGCAGTGGGCCTGTTCTTCATCTTGCTTCTCCAGCATTTGTAAAGAGTGGGAACTGAGCTGTGAGTAGGAATAGCAATCTGGAATGCGGATCCGTATCATTCTGGCACACAACAGTGGAAATTTCAGCGTGATTCAAAATATGGAAGTACTTAGTGAATGAAATCTGTTAGCAGAACAGACCTACTACATGCAGCTAATGCTTTCCCCTGCATCTCTGGTATGCAGCGTGTTAGAGGATAAACTGACACTCTGGGATGCTTGTTGCTGCTCCAGGAATATGGTTGTCTGGAAATGCTATGACTCAGGAAGTAAAGGCAAAATGAAAATGGATGAGATCTGGTTCAGTGAAAGGCCTCCAGCAGGTGCCAGGCCATGATTTCAGTGTTTGTTACACCTGCTAAAGAGAAGGGTATTTGCATGCTCTGTGGCTTAAAGAACTTTGAGCACTGGGAGGGCAACCCAGCTTCTTTATTCCTTATCTTCTCTAGTGGCTTTTACCTTGGTCCCCATGGGTAAAGGGCTTAACTTCTGCCCCAGTTTTCCCATAGGAATCCATAGATGATACCTAACAGGGTAGGGATCTGGATTAATAGCAGTAAAGCCTTTTGAGCTGCTCAGATGAAAGATGTACTTGTTTTAGGGGCTTGCCTTTTCCGAAAGGGCAGGAAAAACTGGTTGCTATCCAAGCAGTTACTAAATGAAAGTAATGTGGGGCTTTTAGCAGCGTGGGTGATGTTCACAGATGAAAGTATACAGGAATGAGAGGAGAAACCATCAGCTGTCTGTAGGCTCAAAGGGCATCTGGGTGGTACAGATAGGAGACATTTGCATAGGTGAAGGGGTCATTTCTGACTTGTCTGCAAAAAAGTTCATCAGTTCAGAAATGCTCTTTTTAAGGAGATTAATTAGGGTGGGGTATAAATGAAATATTAGAATTGAACCTGGAGGCAGCAGTTGCTAGTATATTATCAGCTTGCATGCCTGTTAGGCTTGGAGGAAGAATCCAAGCTTTCACAATCTGAGATTTGGTGGTGGTAGTCATATTCCTCCTTGGATGCCCAGCACATAGATCCTTCAGTCACTTCACCAGAGAGCTTTGCCTAGGAGAAAGTTGTGCTGGAGAAGGGCAGCTATGAAAATACCATTTGTAGAACCTGTCATTCAGTCCTGCACCTTTGTGGATTCATTGGCTGACCTGAATGGGGAAAACAACCAGGTTTGCCTTGGAGTCTGCATTCCAGTGTTCTTATTGTCCAGCACTGTCTGGATGCAGTGTGGGATCCAAAGGAGTGCTGCATCCAAACTTCTCCAAGCTCCTAACAAGAGAGGAGAATGTATTACTGTGATACTGTGATTACATGCTCTCTCCTGTTCTTTGCCCCTCTCTAACCCTGCTGAACTGTGTTTCCACAGTTTGCTTGATTTTTGCTTGATGGGAAAGAAGAGGGTGGAAGAAGGGAGGAGCTTGCAAAACCCAAACATGTATTTGCAGAAACTGTGTTCTTAAAAGGCAGCTTCTGCTTTAAGACAAATTGCTGAGGCACAAGCCAAGATCTACTGCAGAAAACTATTTAATTTCTGTCTGGTTAAGGGTGATAGATAAAGATTTTTGTTGTTAATTGTAACCACATGTGAACTCCAAATAGGATTAGGAAGAGGAAAAGATAGGCTCATTTTGTTCTGTTTCCCAGGCCTTCCCCTGCAGCTCTGTTGCACGTTTTCTGTTACCTTCCTATGCATTTTAAGGGTACACTTTTGAGAGCCCAGAATCCTCTCTGTTCAACAGTAGGAGTCTGCAAGGTATCTGTGAGTCAGCAGTTCAAACTGTTGACTCTTGGTACCAAATGAAAATGAAATAAAGACTGGTTCACTACTCAGGAGTGGAGATGGGAAAGGGGAAGAAGTTTTTAGTCATTCATCTGGTTTTCTGCCTTTTCTTGTTGTTTTTCAGTCTTTCAGATCTGCTTCACTCATTCCCTGTAACAAATTACATTGGGTTTTCTAAGGGTCTGTCCTCACAAAGAAAAGAGTTGTATTTTGAAGTGGTCCAGCAACCTACTGTAAAACCTTACTGTAGATAAGACCTACTATGGTTTTAACATTGGTATTCCATGAACTTGCTGACCTACCAGTGTTTGTCCTTTACCAAAACCCACCCTGGCTTTACTAAACTTAGGCCAGTCTGGACAGACCCTTCAATATGTACTACCTAATTAACCATGTTAGCATCTCTTTTGTTCTGTCTCTTGTGTGTGTGCATCTTGATTAAAAGACACCATATTAATGACTCATTTAGCAGGGCTTTATTTACTTTCCCAGCAGGAATGTGTAGTAATTCACCCGGTTGTTTCTCCAGTCCTTTGTTAGTGGGCAGAATTGAAAGGCAGAAACAGGGTGGGGAGATAAAAGCCAGCTGTGTGGATAGGAACAGCTGGGAAAGGGAAACAACAGGCCAAGCCACAGGTTGGCTCTCCAGCAAATCCATGCCAAAATCCATAGGCAGAACCTAGAGGATCTCCATGGCTGTTTTTCCCCTTGCCTTAAGAACAGGAAGTTCAGCTTGTTGCAGTACAGTTTGCTAACTAAGTTTTACAGTACATTTCAGCTGCAGTGTAATTCTGGGGCCTTTTGGCTCCAGTAAGCTTGAACTCTGTGACTATAAAACATAAGTTCTTTGATGGTATAAATAATGCTGGTAGTTTTCTGCTTTAGTCTTGCTGTGGCAGAAGTCTTGGCATGAGTGAGGCATCACCTGACTATAAAGGCAACGCTAGCTCCTGAAGAAAACAGTACTGTCAAGAATTAGCCAAGTCCTGTGTTAATGCCACTGTGGAAGCAGCAAATACAAGGAAATCCCACCTTATGGCTGCCAGTGGCCTGTGTCTGTCCCGTGGTTCTCTGTACCTGCTGGGATAGCTCAATGTCAGCTCCTCAACTGCTCGTGGGCTTTATGAGCTGTGTCATGATTCTTAGATCTGTTTGTATTTCTCAGTGGGACTAATAAATGCATTACATCAGTGTATGCTACTAGTCATCTGGTCCCTGGCTCCTCCTTTGCTCTCAGCAGTTAATGGAAGCATGTTGCTCTCTGTAGCCCTGTTCCCATTGTGGATGGAAAGGAACTTTTGCCCGCAGCAATAAGATGCAGTATTTGACACTGTTATGGTCTGCACTGGAAGCAAAAGATGCAGCCTAAGCTCCTTCAAGTGTCTTGGCTGATGTCATTCAGACATCCCTGTGTGCTGTTTCCAGCCCTTTAAGGCTTGGATTCTGCAGCACTTTAAGATCTGCCGAAGAAATCAAAGTCCAGTTCTTAGCAGTAAATTGCAGGGATGGTGTCTGGGTTTCAATGGGCAAGTCTCTGTCTTCTTTCCCACTCACCCAATGATATAAAGGATGGGCAGATAATATATTTTACTTTATTTTGTGCACATAAGAAAGCTCATATGGCATTTTGTATGTTCTGTTTGCGGTAATGTTAGGACAAAAGGTGAGAACCCACTGGTGCTAGAAGTCCCCCAAACAGGCTTCTCTATGTCCCTTTGTTTGCAGCCCATGGTAAAACTCCCAATTACTTCTTTGTGTGAGTAATAAAGAGACATACGGTCAGCAAGGAGGAGGATGTTTTTTCCTAGCTAGTTTGAAGCAAGTCATCTACTCACGAATCCCATCTCATCTTGGCTTCCAGAAGGCAGTGCAGAACCTAAAGCCTGTTGCTCCTATCAAGTTCCACATCTCCAGCCGCACAGATACTGGTGTCCATGCACTCTGCAACTCTGCTCACCTTGACATCCAGAGGGCTCCAGGGAAGCCAGCTTTTGAGGAGAACCAGCTTGTCCGTGCTCTTAATCGCTACCTGAAGCCTGAGCCAATCTGGTAAGTTGGTGGCAAGTCAAAATCTTTTCTTCTTGTTGAAGAAAGGAGGAAATGCAGCAATGATCTTCATTCTTCACCCACAAGATCTATTTTCCCTTGTTAATATGTGTTGCCAAACCACTCCCTTGCACGTGTGTATCTCTACTACCACCAGACCCCTGTTACTGTTAGATCATCTATGCTCGTACCCCTAAACCAAGAGTAGTTGTGAGAGACTGGGGTCACCATGTAAGTATTGAATCCAATGGGATGACTCTACTTCCACACATGAGCTAGAACACTGGTATTTAACTTTCAGTGCTGCTTTACTCCCCAAACTCCTTAATATCCTTTGTTTATTGAATTAGCACTTAGCAAAAAACTGGCTGCAGTATTGCCTCTTACCTGTATCTATGCAAAATGATGAAGAACAGCAAACAAAGCTGCTGTTAGTGTTGGCAATCTGCTCCTCTCTTCCTGTATCATCAGCCCCTTTTTTCCCCTCCTAGACCAACGCTACTGCTTAACTTTGTTTGGAAAAGTTACATCAAAAACTCCAGTTGAATATTTTTGTAGCAAGATTTGATGTTTTACTCAATGGGATAAAGTCCTTTTCATACTACACCCAACTGTTAATGACAAGAAGTGTTGCATATGAATGTTGATACAACAATCTACAGAGAGCAGAACAGCCATTTCTTCTTCCTGTTTCCTTCTTTCTTCTTGTTAGTGTTATTACTTGTTGAAGAATGTCACAGTGAGCTTATTCTGCATGAGAGAAAAGCCTAAATGCCCACCCTCAAATGCAGCAAAAAATCATCATTAAACCAACAGTTTCTGTTTGGAATTTGCATCAATTAGATGAGTAATTTCTACACCCCGTGACTTTTTCAGAAGGTGGATTGGATTTCATGTTCTTTGCTTTCCTTCCCAAGCTGTTGTGCAGTTTCTCTGACAGCTGTCAGCCAGTTTCTCTTCTTCCCCAGACATGGGTGCATTTTTATGGTTAAAGGGTAAATTGAATGAAACACTGGGGGCTTTTTTAGACTAAAAGCCAAATCTGTGCTGCGTTACAGAATCAACACACCATTTGCCAGCAACTGCTTTGCTGTGGTCTATTCCTCCTTCTGTTGCTTTGTCTTATTTGCATACACTAAACTCTTCAAGGCCGAGATTGGCTTTGTCTGCCCAGGATTTGGTCCAGTAGGATTTGAATCTCTGTGAGGTACTGCATGGAAGAGTGTGTCAAAGCATTTCAGAGTGTTGTGCAAGAAGGTGGGTAATTTACAGGAGGTATTTAGGTGAGCGGAACTGTCATGCAAGGTGCCAGACTTCAGTCTTTCTGATGTCTGGTGACATGTACATAAAGGAAGATTATGGAGAGAAGTTCTCTATGTCAGAGCAAGGGCCCAGGACCAAAAAGCCCATCCCTCCCCACCCCAGTGCAGGATTGTTGCAAGAATTAGCAACATTACTATGAGGTGCTCTTCCTCCTTCCTGCTTCACCTGGTCTGCTTTACTTTCTAATCTCTTTGCAAAACAGGACCTGACACAAATGCTGACATAGCAAGGCCTGGGATTTGAGGGCTGACATTGTAGTTGCATCAGTTCTCAGTGTTGCAGGGGAGCATTCTAGTTCTCCAAGGCTTGGGGAACAGTGAATTCAGCTCTTAATATGCAGGTGCTCAAGTAGTTTGGGGTCTGAAGGAGGGAGAAATGAATGATGGTGTTACTTTTTCCCAGGAGGTCTTTCTTGCATGTTCCACGTGCTGTGCAAAGAGTGAACTAGTATGGCTTGGTTGGAACTGTGTCATGCTTTGTGGAAGGTGCTGATCTGCAGTTGAATCACATGCTTAGACCTTTCAAAGCATGTTGTAAACGTTCAAACCTGCTGTAGGGTGGTGAGGCACTGGCACAGATTGCCCAAAGAAGTGGTAAATGCTTCATCCCTGGCAGTGTTCAAGGCCAGGTTGGACAGAGCCTAGGGCAACATGGTATAGGGTGATGTGTCCCTGCTCATGGCAGGGCTTTTGAACTGGATGATCTTAAGGTCTTTTCCAACGCAAATAATTCTGTGTTTCTGTGAAATACACTGAGACCTTTTATCTGCAGTCTCTCAGCCTGGTCAGTGACTGGAGCAGAAGATGCAGCTGCTCTCTTGGAGCTAGCTGCATTCTTTCGCCTCCAGACAAGTACCAAGGGAGCCATCAGAGGGTGAAGGGGAAGAGGAAGTAAAATCCTTGGAATCTGAGCTCAGGAAAGAGAGCTGGAAGGCACTGAGAGAGCTTTATTACTAGAGGCACATAGTTGCTGTTAGTGGCTGTTTATTATGTTGTTTCAACTGACCTTTTCCCTGGATGTTTATTTCCTCTAACAGCTCTCAGACAGTTTTGTGAACAGCATAGGGCCACACCACTTTGATCCTGACAGTCTTCTGACTGTCCTCATTGGCTTCACTGTTACTGTCCCTCCATAAGACCCTCTTGTGATGTGTTAGAGTAGGTGAGCTCAACATAAGGGCAGTGTGTGATGACCGTTAATGCTGCTTGGGCTTGTTACAGAGTGTGGCTGCCATTAGAAATGCATCCCTGTCAGTCCCCAGAAATGTGGAAGGGAAATTGCTCTCCCCCACACCTTATTTGCAAAAATGTGTTTTAGCAGTTTGCAGAGTTGGTGGAGTCTCCCTGAAAGCAAACTTTTCACAGTGGGTACCTGAAAGCAAAGCAAATACTGATTTCACTGCCTTTACTACACAGCCCACAGACAGCCATCCAGTAACAAGTCAGATCATGCATCCCAAACCTGAGATTGAATATTAGCATAATAACAGAGGATTGACAGATTTGCACTTCCATTTGCCTCTTAAAGTAACAGCTAGATTCCTCTGTACTGAGAAGCCAGAACACAGAGCAAATCCTTCTCTCAAGGTAGCGAAGTTGCAGCTTAACATCTGTGAGTTATGTCCCTTGATAGCTTTCACCTTCTTTGACATATGTGTGAAGAGTCCAGTGCATCTGCTGAGGGGCTGGAGGTGATTTCTTTCCAGGCTGCTGTGTTAATTAAAGCAAAAAGAAAAGATTCTGAAATAGAGTTTGACTTGTGCAGGATTTTAGTTGTTATTTTTTGCTCAGCCTGAAAACTAGGTCAGAATCTATGGAAATCAAACCCTTTCTGAATGTTTTAGCTGTTCCAGGGAGCATGAAGTAGGTCATACTTTTGATTTCCTTCCTTAAAGGGCTAAAGCAGTTGTTTGGGAGGCAAAACTAGGTGATTGTACAGCCAGAGGATACCACTGTAATAATCAGTCTGTTCCTGTGTGTCACCAGCCACTGAATCTCAGTGTCTTTCCCCTGAGTTTAGGCTTAGAACATGTGAGTTGCGTTGTCCGAGTTTAATAGAATTGTCTGAGAGAACAAAATCTACTGTTGTGACCCTTCCATTTCCCATACTAGCAATTCTACATGCATAGTTATAGTGAACTTTGTGATGCTTTGATTAGTCAAAGAGCAAACAGGATTGCTGCGGAAGAAAGTTTTGAGTTAGAGAGTATCTCTGAAAGGAGGCAGCAGTGGGGTCTTTTTTATCTCGCACTAAGACCTGAGATGTACCTGTCAAGGGTGATATCTTCTGATCAAATGCAGTACAGTCCTGATCAGTTAGAGTTTGGGTTTCTCAGGATGCACTCAGCTCTACTTCTCCTTCCTCCCTTGGTCTGAAAATGGTTCAGCTGCTTTCCATTAAAGAGCCTGGTGATGGGCATGAGTCTGAGTGTATTCAGCAACCATCCTCTCCTCTGTAAATATGACTTTGCCAAGAAGAATTCTCTCCTAATGCTGAAGAGAAAACTCGGCACTTTCATGTGGTTGCAAGCAGGGGGTGATGGAGAGAGGGATCTTTGTGAGAACATGTTATTGGCTATGAGCTTGGAAGGGAAACAAGATTCCAAGCTTGCTGACTGTATCAGCAGCAATAATAACCTTTTGTAGCATGATGGGTTTCTTCTGTCACCTGATCTGTCTTTTAGATTTGCAAAGCATATTTGAAAGGGTCTTGTCCACAAAGATCAGAGTTTATTTCATAGTTCGGGTAACTTCAGGAGGACTTAGCCCCTTAAGTAGGGGTGGTAGTACAGTAGACTCACACCTTCTGTTTCTGGTTTCAGTTTTGTAAGCACACAGTAAATGCTGCTTGAGGGACAAGAAGACAGAGCTGAGATTCCTCCCACTGTCTGTAAATTGCCATTTAACTTCTGTAGGATGTACTTGTGGAGAATATCTTTGTATCCAATAAATTACCATTGCTAGTGAGATAGCTTTGGGTTTTTCTTCCTTCAGTCTCCTCTGAAATTCAGGCTCCTTTGAGAAGGTAAAGTATGCCATGAGTCTGTATTTGCCAGCAGGCTTTCAGATAATGGGATCTTAAGAAGGCCTGAAATGCAGCTGCTGGAATAAATGCTGGAAAGACATTCCTTGATAGAAAAAGCCTTTGGTAGCAATTGCATCTGCTGGAAGAGGCAGAAAAGGTGCCTGTGTGGAAGACCATGTGAGCATAACTAGGCTTTTCTGAAAGCATCGCTCTATCAGAGGGAGTGAAAGGATGGTTATTGAATAAAAAATCACATAAATGTTAATAAGGGAAGTTCAAGATAGATGAAATGCTTGTGGAGGCATGTAAACAAGGGAAAATAAATGTAATTATTATATTCCTGTGTTTAAAAGAAGCTGGAGGTCCTCAGTTCAAACTCAATCGCAGGCCTGGAGGATGTAGTTTGCATTTCTACTGAGAGTTTATAGCAGTGGAGCAATCTCCAGGGCTTGTTATTGCAAATCTTTGTGCCTCAGCTTTAATTTCTTCTTCTGTGGTCTGAGCCTTTGCAGTCAAAGGATGTGAGCCAGAGGCACTTGAGCTGGCAGAAATCCCTGGAGCACCAACCTTTTTCAAGTAAATAAATAGGTTTTTCTATTACTCGGTCCCAAATGGTACGTTTTGGCTGCTCTGGGTCCCTTCTCTTCACTATGCTAAACCCCAAAGACAGAAGGGCACACTGCAGGAGAAAAATAGCTTCTCAGGAAAGATCTCCTCTAAAGTAACACCTGCAGAGAGGTGGTGCCTGTGTTATAGGGGCTCTTTGCTGTATGTTCCCTGCGGTGTGGTGAGTAGCCAGTCTTCTGGGATAAGGGAAAATCAAATCCTGTAAAAACTGTGCTGATGTGTTCAAATCAATGATAACGCTTTGGGGCAGGAACACAGGGAAGCTCTGTATTCTCCCTTGCTGGAGAGAAGGGTGTTTTCCTCTCTAACAGCTTTCATTCCCTCCCTTCTGGCTACCAAGCTGTCTGTGTTTGATGGTAATGATGGTGCTGGCTTAGAGAAACAAGGCAGTTTCTCCCTGTTGCTTGTGGAAGAAATCAGGGGAGATCAGCTGCCTAGACAGCTGATCCTTGAGTTGACTGCCCAGAGTCAGTGGAAGATAAATAGACATGAGCATTCCCAAAAGCCATTTTCTGCACACGTGATGTTTGAGGAGGTCTCCTGCATGCAGCGTTCTGTTTCCAGACAGACTCCATATAGGTGATGGTGGGATGCACCTTTGTTTTCATCGCTATAGCAAAGTCCTGTGGGTCTTGGAGGTTGTGGGGGCAAGTGACTTCATTTAAGCCATCTCCATCTGCTACAATGAGCTGTGGAACCTTTGAGAGTGAGCACAGAGGTATCTATCAGTTGTTGGGGGAGTCCTTCCCATTCACGTTTGGAACTATGGATCTGCAGCAGCAGAGGGGCACAGTATTTGTAAGGTGTGCTCCTCAACTGGAGGGGTCAGCTTGCCTTGGGAAGTTGCTGCCTCTTGCCTTAAGCATGGCTGGGAGCACGTGTGCCCTCAGCCAGATCTGCAACATGATTTGATGGGCTGGGTGAGGTGTCTGGTCTCACTGTGTGTCAAAGAACACACACCATCAATTGCCATTTCTCTGCTGAAGGGCTGATTGATCTTAGCCTCTTGTGATGGTGTGAGCATCCCCAAAATGTGTTGATAGATGACCCAAAGTTGGTGTGTGATGACAGGGATGATGCCAAGGCTCTTCTGTTTGCTTCCAGTTGACAGATGCCTGTGGCAGCCTAGAGATGCAAATCCTTGGTCATGGGTTAATCATGGGTTCTGCAGAGAGTGAGATTTAATGAATTTTAAGTGTGGTTTCTCAAAGAATCCATTGCATATTTCATTTCCCATCTATGTGGTGACCAGGCAAAAGCTTTTGAACTAGTGCATGACGTTCCTCTCCATCTCACTCTGTCTTCTCTCCTCACAGCATTCTGAATGCCCACCGGGTGCCCAGCACCTTCCATGCACGCTTCTCTGCGCTGTCAAGAACCTACATCTATCGGCTGTTGATGGGCTGCTCTCATCATTCTGAAATCCCAGTGTTTGAAAGGGATCTCTGCTGGGCTCCTGGGGCAGGGTAAGTGTGTTCCATTAAACATCCCTGGGGAGCCTCATCAGCGCTATGGAAGAGCTTGGCTTTTCGGGGAAGCGGGAGGGGGTAATTTCCATGTGAGACCAGATTCCCTCTTCACATTGCCAAGATTTCTCTGTTGAAATGGGTGCAACTGCACTGAGTTATGTTCACTGAGCCTTACCGTTCTTCTGAATTGTATGGTGTTACCTGTAATAAACATGCTTAGCACTGCTGAACTGTTTATTCAGTGACTCCATCTAAAGTCCATCAACAGCTTTGTGTGTCCCTCCCTAATGGAATCGATGAGCATTTCCTCAGATGACCTTGCCAGTTCATACAGCAAACCCATTCAGACAGCTGGCCAGAGGAGCAGTGCTCTGACATGATGCAGATAGGCAGAAATGCATTGCCTGGCAGATCCCAGAGCATAAGTGTGACCATACAGACAGACAAGAATGAAGGCTGAGAATTCTTCTTTTTAATCTTATTTTTTCTCTCCCAGTTTTATTTCTGGTAGTTGACTGTGTGTAAATCTGCTCTCTCATTCCCTGTCTGACTGCTTGTATGTTTGAATAGTGAGACCAATGACTCCGAGCAACCCTACAATAACAAACCGGTATATCTGGCTCAGTGTTCACTTGTGTTCTTGGAGTAGCCACTGAGTCATAACAGATCAGTACTTGTATATGCAAGGGAAGAAAAACAAATTCAGTGCCATTTAGAAAGAAAAAAACAAACAACTTGGAACATGTTAAACAGTGGGTGAGGAAAGAAACCAAACAAACCCCAGAAGATAATTTGTTATTGTCTTTTTAGTTTATGTTGTACTGAGATAAAGATACAGTCAAGAAAGTGGAGTTGTAGAAAAACAGGTTTGCAGCCAGTTGTGGCAATTTCATCACCACTATTGGAATAACAGTTGTGGGTAATAGGGGAAAAACGTGATCTCAACTGTCCTAGAGGGGTAAAGATGGCATTGTGCTAACATTAAATTGCTGACTTTCCTTTCTGTGGGCTGTGGGAGGGAAAAATAACAGCTAATTTTGCAATTTAATGTGTATGTGCACAATGGGCCTTAATCTCAGGCCCATTAATCTTTATGAAATGCCATTAAATTTAGTCTAGACACTGCAGTTAATGGCAATATCACATAAAGGATCAAGTGAGCATATTAGGAATGCTGAATGGGAGGTGTCTTACTAAAAGGTGGGACATTGGGACTGCTGGTAGTGGAGAAACTCAGTGTGTGTGCACTACGGAGCATGTCTGGTGTATAAAACACATAATACACAGTAAACCTCTGCAGCCAGCTGAACTGCCAGCTAGGTGTCATCAGTGCTGCTCAGTGTGACCAGGATTCTGGAAGTGCTGGTCACTTTTCTTGAAGAAAGTGAAAAAATGAATGATGTTGGTAAATCTTATCTTGAATTTTGGTTTTCTTCAGAAAGACTTTGACTTCTGTTAAGACGTGGAAGACTGAAGTCACGGATCGTGCATATTTGCTCAGGCTTTTCTTAGAAGTTTACAAAAAGCAAGAAAAATAAGCATCTGTTCAGCAAATGTGTCAGGAAATCTGTCTAAATGCCTTTGCTGGAGGCTATTTTGAACAGACCTAGATACTTCAAATGAAGAAATCTGAACAACATTGAGTTTTACCCTTGGCCTTTTCTTCTGCATCTCCACCTCTGGTTTAGTGTGGCTTCATCTCTGACAGTTCTGTCATTCCTTTTCTGTTGCTTCCTAACTTCATCTTCTGGCTGTTGCAAATCTAGGGTTTGGAAAACCATCATAGTGTTTGATATTTTCTTACCTGGCAATATCATCCTCACTTTATAAGATCCAGATACTGCAAAGGATTTTGGTTCTCTTGCCCTCCAGCCAGCAATAGAGCTATTTGAACTGAACTGTTACAAGAAGCACAGCAGGGTAATGGTTTGGGTAGAAGCATGTGTCTGCCAACCCCTCATCTAGCCTGGGGTTTGGAATACCTTCAGACCTCAGGTCACTTGGCATCTTGGTTTGTGGTTTGGACCATTAGAAGACAAACTCCATCTTGCAAAATGTGTTTCCACAATGCTGCCATGTTAAATCTGTGTGCGAGGTTTAAGCCTCTCATCAATTAATTGGATTTGGATTCATGTAACATACTAAGTCCCACCTGATGCTCCTTTCCTTTTGCCTTTCATTTCAGCTACCTGAATGTTCCTGCCATGCAGGAGGCAGCTCAGTTCCTGGTGGGAACCCATGACTTCAGCACCTTTCGCTCTCTTAGCTCTGAAACACCTTTTCAGAGTCCAATCAGAACCCTCTTCCAGGTGGACATCCAACCCTCCTCTGGTTTCCTGTCCCACCACTATGAACACAGGTGAGAGCCAAGATACTCAGCTGAGGAGCTGCTCTGCTCAGCTGCTGCTCTTTTTGTCTCAAAAGCTGCTTTGGTAACTGACCTCCTGTTTGCTGTGCATTTGCTTCACAGCCCTGTGATGGTGTCAGCAGGGTTCTGCTTAGTGACAGCTTGGAAAGGACATTCATTTCCCTCTCCTCCACCATGTCCTCAGGGAAAAAGATGAGCAGGAATGAGGGAAGGGAAACTGGACAAGTTGTTTGTACATTAAAAGGCAGGATGTTATAAACTGGTGTATGGAATCTGGCGCAGAGCAATTCCTATGAGGTGCTTCCAGAATTTACACTCATTTTGGTTGCTAAAGACCAGCTCTCTCAGGGGATTGGATTTTTCCGCCCCCTCTGCTTCTGTCCTAGCTTTGCCTAAGGGCTGCAGATAGATAGAAAACACCCACCCAACACCTAAGTCACTGCTGGAGCTATGCAGATCCACTTGGTTCACACCAGTAACTCCTACTGTCTTCCCAGGGGGTGCTAATGGAGGCAAGTCCAATATTCCTCATTACATAAACAAAAGATTGTGGAGTGTCAGGTTCCTTCAGGACCAGGTCTTGCAAGTATTGAAATGAAGTGGTTGGATGGATTCTCTCTCTAGCAGTAAATCAAGTTTTTATTCCCAGAAAGATCATGGGTATTTTATCATCTGATCATGGCTTTCACTTTCATGCTGGCTTCTGTCACAGATATGGCTGTTGTGTTTCAGCTTGAAAGCAAACCTTGCTCTTGTCTGTCTCCAAACCACGTTTTCCTGCTTTGTGATTAGGAGGATACCCTTTTCTCTGTAGTTTTCCCCCACAACCCTCCATTACATTTGAATACCTCCTGAGCTGTCTGTAACAGTAAGTGCCATGCTCCAAGCTTCAGCAGAGCCTCATTGCAGTTTGCGAATAGCCCCTGTTTCTTTCCCCATGTCTTAGAATGGTTTATATTGCCATCAGTAATATAAGATAAAAAACTGAAAGCAGAAAAATCCCAGATCTCTATGTTCGGAGTAGCCCTGGGCTTTCAGTTCTTCCTGTCCTCTTGGATTCCTGCTTTTCCTACTCAGTGCTGGTGCCTGTCAACACACAGGCACATTATAAAGAACCAGCCAGTTGGGTATGGCACTGGCACTGCTACAGCACAAGGATGTGGCAGCTAATGCCAGGTGTAAATGTTTATTTGCCACTTTCTTGCAGCACGGTCCCCATGGGATAAGGAAGGCTGGAGAGGAAAACGGGTCCTGTCCTGTGGCTGCATTCCTGCTGTTTGTTATTGGGTTGCTGTTGCTTAATGGAGAGTTTTGGCTCCCTCCATCCAGCATGGTTATGTTTAGGGACACAAGTAACAATGAAATGTTTTATCCACAAGATTATCTTGTCCTTTATGATACAGAGAAGTATTGGAAGAGGCAGAGTCTGTGAGCTAACCTGAAAATAACCATTAACAGTCACCTGTGAGTATGAACCAAGTTTCCTTCCAAATCCAGACCAATCCAAATCAATCAGTTGACTCATCTCGGGTATAATATGGATCTGCTCCTTTATCCCTTTGATTTTAATGTAAAAAAGGGAAATAGCCATTCTTTGCATAACTTGCTGCATAAACCTATCCCACATGAGGCCAAAAACAGCTCATGAGGGAGGGAGAGAGCAAACCAGAAATCTGGATCCAAAGCATCAAGCTGCTGATGGAATATTTTTGCTTTTGGTGACACATGGAGCCAAACTTGTGTTTTATAGTGAGTCATTGTTGTAACATGTCAATATTAATTGATTTAATGTATGTTTAGGCTGTAGAGGATGGCTGTGAAAGGCCTGGTTTCAGTGCATTAAAATGGCATTTAACTCTCTTAAAAGACTTTGTTACTTATAACCACAACTGTGATCTTTCTGCTCTGGAGAAAGAAGGTTGTAGGATTGGCCCTTGTGAAAGGAGAGGTGGTGTTAGGGGGTTTCTTTGTTTGTTTGGGGGTTTTTAATTACAGTGTCCTAATTACTTCTAATCTGTAAACCTCTCCCTATGGGAACAGATCCAGCCTGGAGCTGGGTGTTTGTTTGCCCATTCTGCAAAGACGACAGCAAATACGCCTCAAGTGCATCTGTATTTCTTCACTGCAGTAGCAGAATGATCTGTTCCTGCAATGAAAGGGCTGGGAGAGCATTGAAAACTTACAAATAGATATTTATTGTTTTGCTAGCCTGATCTAAGGAGGTTTATTTTCCATTTTGGAGGGAGGAATCCATAGAATAATGGTCTCTTAGTCCAATAATGCAGCTTTTCTTCCTTGTCCTTTCCTTTCTTTCTGAACTTAATCCAATCTTCTGAATTGACCACTTGTCTGTGTAAAAGGCTAACTGTTAAAAAGATTCCTTCCATCAAACTCAGTTGCTCAGCAACAGTGGAAGTGGAGTTAGTGCCCCATCCATACAAAAATGCTTTTGAATGCTCAGGATGTGTTGAGGGGCTCAGCCCCATCGCTTCTTCCTAGGGAGTGATTGCTCTGTCACCTGTGTTTGAGCAGGATATGTATTATTCATTGCAAGGTGCTGGCTTCTGCTGCCAAGTGAAAAAAGACAGCTGGATTTTTTTGCTGGTAAGCAAATTATTTGTGAGATTGGCAAGAAAAACCAAAGTTTGCTTCTTTAAGAAGTGTATCTTGTTCTTTTTCAGAGGCTACAAGATGTTTTTCCTAAGTATCTCACCCCATCTTTTGTAACTTGATAGATCTTGTCAAGAGACATGAGCAGGAGAACCCTGGCTAAGGAAGGTGCATGCAGGTTGATGAGAGGGGCATTTGTTGCTGTAAATTGTCCCTTGTGCATTGCTGAAGAGCTGAGCTAAATTGTCACCTTGAAGTGTTGGCTGTCTGCACGTGTGTAGCAATGCACATGCCTGTGTGCCATGTGCATCGAGCTGGGGGAGAGCAGAGTGTAGGTAAGTGATAGAGACACTGTCATTCCCTGACATAGAAGAATCTGGGGGCAGGAGCTGCCTTTGCATATGCCAACAGACGTGACAGGGAGGGCTAAAAGCAGTAATTTATCTGTAAATCCTAGGAGAAAACAACTTGTAGCTGCTCCCTGCAGTGACTGTTTGCCCTGATGCCCCATGTGGGCCTGTGAGTCAGGTTGTCCCAGCTTCACCTTCCTTCTATGGCCTGTCCCAGGGACTGGGCAGCCCCTTCTCCATCCTCAGATGTTTCTAGCAATCCCAACCTGCCCCTCTGAACCCCAGACAAACAACTTGCAGCTGGGCTTTTCTCACACCTGATAGAAGTCTCCCCAGCCCTTTGATGCCCAGTTACTGGGCTCATTGCAAGGCAGGAGAGGAGAGGGTTTGCACTGAAATACCTGCTTTTCTGGGTTATGCAAGGTAAGCTTTGTCTCTCCTTGCTGTAGGAATGCTGTTGGATATAAGGAGCACTTATAAGCTGTTAGTGAGTTTATTTTTTATTGTTACTTTTATCTAAGTGACTTTTAGAATTGGTTGTAGCATGGAAGCTTGGGCACACAGGTACTGAAGTGAAAACCTTATTTCTGTGCCCTGCTTGATATCTGATGGATGAAACCCATGTGTGCAAGTTTATGTATATCTGATGAGCACAGCAGACTTTTGTTTCTGTCTGTGGGAAGGAAATGTGCATATGGGTTCTTTCCTGCAGGGCTCTTCCTGAGAAGGGGTTTGCATTGGGGTTTAGTGTTATGTTAGAGCTGTTCATGGAACATCAGCAAAGCCTCAGAATTGTTTCAGAGTAGCTTGTAAGGATGCAGCAGAATGAAGTTGCAGTGAGCCTCAGTAGAGTTCTGATAAGGAATATTGGTTGCTACCATAGAACTTTCTGGGAATTGGGATCTGTATGAACAGATTTGGTGAGGGGGATGAAGTCTTTTTGCATAGCAGTTATCTAGCCATCCCCAGATGTTCACCTGCTGTTTCCTACTCACTTAGCCTGGAATGCTTTCTTGTCTGCCATTGCCTGTGTTGTGATGCTGCAGCTGGATTCCTCAGGCTCTTGCCTTGCGTGTCCTGCCCTTTCCAGTAGCACGTGGATGTCACAGTAGGCATTGCTGAGTGTTGAAATGCAGTCTGCAAAGCCTGTTAGGACCACATGACTCTCTCAAACCAGCTCCCAATAAAATGGTAGAGTTGTTTTTGTATGGTTGGTTCTTCCTTTCCCCAGGAGACATCAGGCTGCATTCCTCAGAGCAGTAGCACCTTAGCAGGGTGCTAAGGTTCACCTTGCTTTATGTTGCCCTTCCCCTTTTACTTGGATGGATTTTAACTTGGGTGTGAGGCAGCTCAAGCCCCATAAAACTACTGCATACAAAAAGGCAGGAATTGTTTCACCCCAGAAACTATCTGCAGCCGAGTAGCAAATGCACAGTCTGGTTGCAGAGGCTCATGATGCTGGTTCAGGTTAATTGAGGGCTGTGCAGCTTCTCGTTCATCGTACTCGCATTCACCTGTGGTTTGTATTTCTCTGGGGGACGGAAGAGCTGTTTGAAATGTGATTTTTAAATGCTGATTTTGTTCCTTTCCATAGGGGACTGGAGTTTTGGGAGTTGAAGTTCAGGAGCAGATCCTTTCTTTACCGCCAGGTACAGCTTGGTGCTGGATTCAGCACACTGCCTCCAAGAACCAAACCTGTAACTGTTGATCGGTTTAGCATTGTTGCCTGCCTGTGTAGCGCCATCCCTGTTGTGGAGCTGTGTGACACACAGGACCTGCCATCAGAGAGGGGAGGTTCTGTGTTCTTTGGTTGATCTGGTAGAACCAGAATCGCTGAATTTTACGTCTAAAATGAATGTCCAAAGTCACAGAATGGTGTGGGAGGATGGAAAGTTTTGTTTTCTACAATCTTTGTCCTTGCAGCCTGAGCAATGAAACCCAACAGACATATGTTCCTGCTCTGCTGAATGGCACCGGGCCCAGCAAAAGACTGCCTGGAATTTTACTTTCTGGCTTTGGAGCATGAAGTAATTGTCAGTGTTGCACAAAGGAGGGATGCGAAGACCTGATTGAGCCATGCAGGCATGGCTGCAGCATCCTTCCCTCTGCCATGCTGTCTGGTCTCTGCTGGCTGTTCTTTGAAATAACTCCAGGGGGGTTTTTAGTGCTGTCCTCAGGGGAGACAGCTCTCCACAACTTAATGGATCACCTCATTAGGAAAGAGTTGGCTGTTCTCAGTCTGCCTATCCTGGCCATGGTCACACTCTGGAGACAGAGAAGAGGCAAGAGAGGGCTTGTTTTTTGAAGGCGAGAGGGGGTGTTTTGTGGGAACAGCAAGCAGCTATTTTTTATCCTGTTTTGACAAACCAAATTTGGTTTTATCCTGTGCCAAGTAATGCTCTGTGAGCTCCCTGACAGTGGGTGTCTGGCTGTGAGCAAGGGAAGAACAACAACGTGCTTGAGAAGGGCTTGATATACAGCAGGGATTTGCTCCATCGGATGCTCTTGTGACAAGGAGAAAATGCTGGTAACCCATTTAGTGCATTAGGAATGGAAATGCTACTTAGTGACACTGTGCAGAGGGAGCAGTTACCCATAATACTCGGCTCATGCACTCTCTGAGCCTTGTTCAGTGAGTTGTCAGGTGAGGGTGAAACAGGAACAGGTTGTGTGTGCACTGAGTCTGCACTCACCTACCCCAGCATCTGCTCCTGCCCCCCATCATAAAGAGAAGACTGGACCCAAGGGCCTCTGGTCTCACCCCACAGAGCTGCTGTAAGTGCTTGCAGTGGGCTTCTCTATTAAGAGAACAGGAGTAAATAGCCCCAGACACTGTCTGTGTATGTTTTTGCTGACTAGCATGCAGAAGGGGAGACACCAAGCACATGGCTAATTCAAATGTGTACCATTAGGCTGCGTTTATGCTAGCTAACTCCAAACGTGGAGACATCAAAGCTAAAGTCACAGCATAGGATGACCTCTAGTGAGGGCTGGGTAAAATAACATATGGCCAGGATCTGTGCTGCTTCTCTGTGCCATCTGCTTAAAGGCAGGCTCTTGGCACTCCACGGTGCAATGTGGGATCAGAGCACATAGGGAGACACAGTGCTTGCCTTTGGGTAAACGTATCTTGGTTGTTGGGCCTTTCTCATGAGCAGTGGTAATCGTGGTCAGGTTGCCTAGAGGATTTTGGTTTATTCTGTTGTGGATGTTACTGGATCAGACACTTGGACCAGTGCTTCTTTACAGCAATATATTAAGTTTTTGGAGTGCTTAATGTACGTTGAAAGGTCATGAAGAGGAAACCATCACAAGGAGAACATGGGGAATAACCTCCCCAGGGAAGTGGTGACTTTGACTTTTAGGATTCAGCTGGACAGGGTGCTGGGACATCCAGGCTAGGTCATGCTGTGCCTGGAGGACAGTTCTTTCAGTGTGCATGGACAAAAGTCACTAGGAGATGGTGACATTGGGATGGCTTGGGATCAGCCCCTGGCAAGAGCTGAGTTTCACTGTGGCTCCTCTGTCAAATAATACTTGGTCCCAGCAAACCTGTGGCATGTTGCCTTAGGCTGTGTGAGCTCCCCTGTGGAAATGGGTACAGGTGAGCCCAGGGGAAGTGCTGGCAGGTTCTAGGAGGTTCAGCTCTTGCCTGGCCAGATACCTGCAGCAGGTACAAGTCTTGGCTCTCCTGAACACCATGTGTTCTTGATACAGAGGAAAGAGTGTTTTTAGCCAGGAGGATGCTGAAGTATAAGGGGTGCTTATGCAGGAGGTGAGGGCCATGGTGTGAAACCTGTGCTAACCCGCGGGGTCTGGAATTGCTGCGTGTGGAAGGAGGGAAGTTGTGACATGTGGAGGTGTTTGAAACACCACTTTGCTGCACTGGGGGTGTCGTCTGGTGCTGTCCTACTTGGGTTTGGGTTTTTCTCTGTTTTTGTACTTTCTGAGAGAGCCCCTACATAGTTGCTTATGTGTTAAGAACCTGTGAGCTCAGCTCTCCCAGCATGTATGGGAGCTTCCTGCCACAGACGGATGTGTGGGTGCTGCTCTTGTTTCTGAAATGGAAACCATCCCCTGCTCAGCTTCCCACGTGTGGTGAGAACATGACCTGCTCCAAGGTAGTGCTGCGTAGCTGGAGGCCATTGTGTTGCAGGTCCTCATCTCACTCATATAAATGTCTTTAGCTGCCCTCACCTACCACCAGCTTTGGTCACTAGAAGATGCTGTGCTGCTGCTCACTGCACACAAGCTCAATGTGTCACCCCCATCAGTGCAGATCCTAGGCAATCCACACAATCCCTGCTAAAGGGGAAGGAAAACCTTTCCTCTGCAGGCTGTGGGGTGGCTGTGACTGCTAGAGAATAAGGCAGAAGCTCTCCCTGTGAGGGTGCTGAGGCGCTGGCACAGGGTGCCCAGAGAAGCTGTGGCTGCCCCATCCCTGGCAGTGCTCAAGGCCAGGTTGGACACAGGGGCTTGGAGCAAGCTGCTCCAGTGGAAGGGGTCCCTGCCCATGGCAGGGGTTGGAGCTGGAGGAGCTTTAAGGTCCCTTCCAACCCAAACCAGTCTAGGATTCTATTATGGTCTTTTTGGAGAAATTAAGTGAGCACTGGAGCTGCTCCTGGAGGTCTGTGATAGCAGAGGCATACAAGGGGCAGCCAGGACTGGTCTGAGCCCTGATGAATGAGCCTGGGCTGTGACTTGGGATACTGGCACCTAAAACAAGGGTCAAAATATTCTTTATGTGGGAGAAGTGCTTGCTTCTTTCTTAACGCTCAGCTGGACTAGAAGCACCCATGGCACTGGGAGCAACTGGTAGTATTAGGAAGAGTAGGGAACACCAGAAATGAGGTGTTCTGGGAACTATGGGTGTAATAATAATGATGTACCTGTATTCAGGAGCAAACTCATATTAATAAATCATGGTGCTATCAGTCTTGTCTGAGTGAAAGACACTGCACTCTGATTAGGTTTCTAGCCTGACCTGCTATCAGTACTAACTGTGGGCTGTTAAACAGCACACTACTAATAGCAGGACTCGACAGAACTTTCTAGACTCACTCAGTTTTCCAAGGGCAGCTGCTAAGCTGTGTTCTCTGTTGTTCCAGGTCCGAAGGATGGTTGGGGCTCTCGTTGCAGTTGGCCAGGGCAAGCTAACTCCTCATCATATAAAGGAGTTACTGGAGTTAAAAGACTCAAGGGCTTTTCCACCCAACGCCATGGCTCCGGCATCCGGGCTCTTCCTGAAATCCGTGGAATACAGTGAAGCAGGTGGGTGGATGCAGGGGTTGGCATGATTTCTATAGGAGTCAGAGCTGACACTGCAACACCCACAGTCTCCTTTATGTGCTGTCAGACCTGTGGCTCACAGCTTTGCTCGCTGACACCCCCATTACAGTGACCCCCCCTGGGCTGCAGAGGTGTGTGTGCAGCATAGCTGCTATGGAAAAACGGTGTGGTGTTTTTCCTGGTAGGGTTTTTCCTCTTACTTTCAGGTTAGCAAAAGAGCAGTTGTGTTGACAATGGCTTTGAGGTCTCACATGGATGATACTTGAAGTTCTCATAACTTGTTCTGTCCCTGACCATGTATAAAGATCAAATCTTCCGTGGCATCTGGGCACCTATAGATCCATTCCTGTTCCCTCCCTTCTCCCTTGCTGTGTATGGGGGGATTGTAGAGGCTGGAGGACAGAGAGCCCATCATCCTGTTGCTTATCTGGTGACTCTCTGTGTCAGTGGGGAGGGTGCCCAGGCAGGAAGGGAAGACCACAGAGCTGAAGTGCTTTCAGGTGCTTCCAGTGCCATCCTTCTTTCCTAAATCAATGTTTTCTGTTTCTTCCTCTCAGATTTGGACACTACAGTGGCCCCAGGAGAATAGCAGCTCTGTGAGATACAGAAAGGACTGCTGAGGATGTGGGATGGAGGTTTGCCAAGCGCTCTTTACACAATACACAATCTTGTCTCAATAAAAACCATTGACTGTGGCTGTGGGCATCTTCCAGTCGTTTGTTCTTGCCCTCTGAGACTGCCAAGGGGAAAGGAAGAACAACTCCACGCTGCTTTCATATAACTGCTGTTGTGCTCTCTCTCCTGATTCTGTGTTTGTCGCTCAAACAGGAGGAGGAAGGGGTAGGGTTTGGGGGTTTTTGTGTGTAGATTTATCTATTTTTTGTATCCCTTCTGTGGTGTGTGTGTGAGAGGAATACAGGCTTAGAACAGAGGAGAATGGAGCGTTTCCTCTCGGGCCTTCTCCTCTGTGACCCTGTCTTTGTACAGCACAGTGCAAGGGACAACTGTTGCTGTTTGATGCAGTGACTTACAGAAACAGCCTTTGAAAGTCCTCCCCGTTTCCTCTCCTCATCAGCAGTCACTCTTGTGCTGAACTGTAGTGGCTTTTACATTACCCTGCTACAGAGTGATGTCTGTTGCAGCAAGGATGTGGCGTGTTACAGACCAAAGTTCCTTTGAGGTCACTTAAAACCTATTTTAATGGTCACAGCCTGGACTAATAGCACAGGAACAACTCTATAAGCCTGACCATGAAATGAAACCTGTGGGACCAGGACCAGGTGGCTGCCACCATTGCTGGCTTCAGTTTGCTTGTTGCTACCCTCTGCTCTTTCAGAGCTGGTGAGCAGTGAGCAAAGGGTGGGTGAATCATGCTGTGGAGCAGGGAGCAGAGAGATTTCTTTATTCCTTTCCCCCCCTTTTTCTTTTCAAACCACTCTAACCTCAGGCCGTGCCTGCTGGCTCAAGCAATAGAACACACATTGGGTAACTTGTGGGTTGTTCTTCTCATAAAGGATACCAGAATCTCTGGGTTGGTTATACAATAACTGTTTTTAAAGTACCAGTTACAGGAAAGATGATGACGATTTTGACTTCTGAAGCTTAGAGAAGAAACAATACCTGGTTTAAGCACTCCACAGTGGAAGCGGCGTGCAGCTGAGGTGCCTGGTACCACCATAACTGACCTCCCCTTTGTCCATGAGAGGAGGAGAGTTACAGAGCAGGCAGCACAGTTGAGGACTGTGGAGTTGAGACTCTTTGCATGGTGGAAAGCCACAAGGTAAGCAGAGGGGGAAAGGCAGTGGTTCTTTTTGACCACCCTTGCCTTGGCGATGGGGATGGAGTTAGTTGATAACCCTGATACAGAGCATGAGGACAGCCTGTTTCTGGGTGTCTGTTCATGAGAAGTGATTCATCTCTTCCCACTCTGTTCCAGGTTTTGCCAGAGACCTGCTTTTGACAACATGGGAAGGAAAAGCAGGCTACCTCCAGTTACCCTCCTTTCCCACAGAGGATGCCAATTGGTAGCTGCTTTACTCCCTCAGGGACTAACTCCCAAAGAAGACAACAGAACCTTGGAGGAGCCTTGGGTCTCTACCATAGAAAAGGAGGGTTGAGGCTGCTCTGTTGGTGCAGTGGTACCTGTTTGTGCTTTTGTGGTCCAGCCTTGCTGGGTAAGTAGCCAAAGGTGGGCATGCTGTAACACACTGCAGTGATTTTCCAACAGAAGCCCAGCTCCAAACCTTAAATGTGTCCGTGTGGTTTTAGACAGTGATTTGCCTGAAAGGGAATGGCAGCAAAGCCTTGCTCTTCCTCCCTTTGGAGGGAAGTGAGAGTGCAGCTGCAGGCCCATTTCAGGTGTCCTGGACTGAAGCACTGAGGCTGGAGGGCAGGATGGGTGGGAGGTGATGGGGGAGCTTTGTGTGGGAGCGTGGGTATGTGGAGCCCACACTGGTGCTGGCCATGGGCTGTGCTCTCCTGGCTCTGGGAGTGGGGCGAGTGCTGTGCCTTGGAGCTGAGTGACAGCTCTTCATCTTTGCTTCCTGTGGTTTCTTGCTCTAGAGCAAGGCAGCAGAGCTCTGCAGTGCATCTTGCAGGGCAGCACGCTCTGTGCTGTTACAGCCCCTACACGGAAGAGCTCAGCAGTGACCTCGCGGTTGTGAGGACTCTGGAGAGCCCAGCGTGCTCATGTGCAGCTTTGGTGTGAAGATCTGAGCTCTGGTAAGTCAACTTTCAACCTAAATCTATTCTAGGACACAAAACCAAACCGAATCCTCCTGCTGTTTGGGCATTGATAAACCCAACTGCTGCTGCACGCTCAGGTACGGCTGCTTTGTGGTAGTCATGGTGCAGAAATCCCTGCTATGGGATGTGTCTGGAAACGTGTCCCAGCTTCTGGTTACAATAAAAACCTGTCACTCTTTGGGCTTGTTACCAAGTGCAGTGAGTGAGCAGCAGGCTCAGCTGTGGAGGCAGTGGCCCAGACACAGACTGGCTGACTCTGCAGTTAGCGCAGCGCTGTTGTCAGCTCCTGCTTTGCTTTTTAAACCCCAGAGCTGCTGTTAAAAATAACCTGAAGATGTTTAATTAAAGAAGATGCTCTCTTTAGCATCACAGAATGTACCAGCAGTGGGGAGCTTCTGTACAAACTCAGAGCCACTTCTGTCGTGTCCATCATTAATACTTGTGATTGAGGGGAATCCAGCATTCTTCCCCTTCTTATGTTGGTGCATTGCTAATTCTGTTCAGTTGGTGCAATCTGGACAGCCAGTCCAGGGGCAGATCTCTGTGTCTGATGGTTTGACAGTGATGCTTTAAAATTAAACCCAGAAAAACCTCACACTTGAGCAGAGTTCAAAGACTCAAGCTTGGGTTTTCTGTGCAAACGTGCCTAATAACTTAATGCACTCAGAATCCAGTGGAAACTTTGATGTAGGCTTTTGTGTGGTTTTGTAAATCAAATAACTTTGGGCAGAAATAGCTCAGTGATGCTTTTTGGGTTGTCTGGAAGAAATAACAGCCCTCCCCTGCCCCAAAGACCCCAGACGAACACCACCAAAACAGCCCTGGGGAGGCAAAGCTGGATTTGGGACTGTTCAGATTAGTTTTTAACCTGGTGGGTGAAGGGTACATTACTGTAAGAGGTGGAAGTAGCTGTGTACTTGGAAAATACATGCTTGTTATAGGCTCTGTCACTTCTATTGCCTCTTACAGAGAGCAGAAGTGTTCTCAAACAGATAGATGTGCATGGTGGGGTCCTGCAGCATGTATGTGACTGTTTGGGACAGGGTGGAAGAGTGACTTGTAACTGACTTGTGCTTGACTTGTGGGGAGCAGCAGCCAACCCGTCCCCTGGGCCTGCCCTGCCCCATTAATGGTTCCACAGACCACCCCTTTCCCTAGTTGCAAGGCTTTACTGTGGCCCTAGACAAGATGGGTGTTCAGTGGCTCTTGCTCTGGCAGCACCCAGGGATAAAGGTTGTTTGAAGCCCTGTGCTGCTGAAGTTACAGCTGGCCCGTGCCTGGTTTTGTGTTCATTTTCTTGTGTGTGTGTACAACCCCTTTGCTATGAGGTGCAAGACCCATGAAAGCACATACATAAAGTGAAACCTTATCTTTTCCCTTTCTGATCTTCCAGATATTCTGGGTGCTTTTGCCTTCACCAGATAAACAACTCCTTGGGAGGAAGTGTGATTTCAGAGTTTCCTTTGGAAAGCACCCAGCAACCTTTGTGGGTTTGTGCTGGCCACGGCTCAGTTTAGGAGCGCTGTGTGTACTGGGGCTGGGTTTAACTTCGCTGTTAGTGGCTTCTGTTCAGGTGTCTGTGTTTGGCTCAGTTACTGAAATGTCTTTTATATTTGATGGAAACTGCCCTGCTGGAGCAGCACTGCTTGCATGATGGGAGTGACCTGGATGAGGAGTCTGCTCATACAGCGCCTCTTTCCTGTGTGTCAGACACACAAACTAGCCCTTTACCCTACACCAACTACCTGTTTCTGTTCTGTGCTTTAAATACTGCTTCTTAGCAGGAAGGTTCCACACATGCTCTTTATAAAACTGCAGCACAAGGTAAAGCAGTTCAGCATTGCTGCTTCTGCTGTTTCAGTATTGCCACCTTGTGATGGTTTTAATGCCAGTGTTAAAGCAGAGTTGTTCCTGTGCAAACTTCAGATGCTTGGGGTTTAAATTAGTTATTCTCCCTTCCAGCAACACCACCTCCCACCTGAACACACTGAGCACAGACATCACCAAGGCTTCACATCGCTGTGGAGAGGCTTCAGTTCTTACCCACTCAAGATGAAACCAGACACAAGAACCTCCTGAGGTAAGGGGTGGTTTAAGACTCATACCCTGTGTTGGATGTGTCCCCAGCAGAAATCATGGCAGGCATTTCCTGGACTGAAGGAGTCTCCAATGAGACAGATGCCAATTCCAGTGCAGAATTCCATCTGGAAGCAGACTTCCAGTATTCCTTGTTTACTGTCATCTACAGCTTCGTCTTCGTGCTGGGTCTGATAGAGAACGTGTTGGCTCTGTACCTGCTGTCCTGCAGGGTAAAGCACACTTCCCATTCCTATGTGTACATGCTCAATCTAGTTCTGGTGGACACCTTGTTTGTGTGTGTGTTACCCTTCAAAATTCATTACCACCTGAATGGGAACAACTGGATCTTTGGGGACATAGCCTGTAGGATAACTGGGACTCTGTACTACATCAACATCTGCCTCAGCATCGCCTTTTTCACCTGCATCTGCGTGGACCGCTACGTCGCAGTGTTGCATCCCTTCACCTACATCCAGATCAAGGTCATTCATTACGTGGTGGTGGTCACAGTGCTTTGGGTGGTCGCTCTGAGCATCATGGTCCCACTCATCCTCGGAGGTCCCCTCCACAACAGGGGTGCAGGGAACACAGTAGCATGTTTTGAGAACTTCACCACCAGTAGCTGGACTTCGCGCATGACAACTTACAACATCCTGGCCTTGGTGTTTGGGTTTGTGATCCCATTCTCCATCATTCTGATCAGCTACCCTCTCATTGCCAAGAGGATCTCCCGCATCAAAAGCAGCGTTCACAAGAGGAAGGCCCTGAGCACCATCTACATGATCCTGGTCATTTGTACTTTGTGCTTTCTCCCCTATCACCTCACTCACCTGCTCCACTTCCTAATGAGAATCCAGGTCATCCAGAACAAGGCATTTGCCAGCTTGATCTACAAGATGCGGAAGGTCACCCTGGCCCTGGTGAGCCTCAACTGCTGCCTTAACCCACTCCTCTACTACTTCAGCTCCTCCAGCAGGCAGTGGCACTTCAACTTCAAGCTCAGATCCAGGCCTCAAGTGGTGTTCACCATCTGTGACCAGAAACTTGGGGAGTCCTCCTATGTTTATAAACTGCATCAGAGACACGGAGATGGAATCAACTGAGCTGCTCAAAGTAAGTACAGTGTTCATCTTTTGAGCTGTCCCTTCAAAACCAAACCTGTAAACCTACCCTTTCTTCATACAGGGCTGTTACATCAAGGCCACACTGGAGGGAGGTGCCTAACATCTTAATACATGGATTAGCCAACCAGCAGGGTACCTGGGAGCTGTGTTCTCTGCAGTCCTGCCTAGCTCACGCTGGGTTCATGTACACTGATGTTCTGGTCTCCTTTCTGTTTAACATGAGGCTCCTCTGGAATGCCATGCAGCCCAGAAAAGGGTTATGTGAAAGAAACCAGCCTGCTGCTGGAGTGGATCAGGGCTGTCCTGCTTGGCTTTTCCCATTTTGGAGGGATCTTCCCTCCCGGGGGGCACACCAGAGCCAGCTGGGTTCACAAACTGCTTTCTGCCTGCATTCCACAGCCAAATAAGGGCTTCTCATCCCTCCTTCCCAAGGGGTGCAGGGTTTCCAGGGTTGTGCACCCGTGGGTTCAAGCTGGACATCTGTTAACACAGGTTTAGCTGATGGCAGATCCAGGTAGTTACTGGTCAGTTAACCCTGTGCAGGCCCAGCAGTGAGCAGGCTGCTCTGGCCACATGGTTGTCAAGGGAAGGCCTCAACGCCAGCACAGCTCCTCCCACAGTGCAGTCCTGTGCAACCACCACAGTTTGTGATTATAAACACAGTACCTAACCTGTCTCACCCCTTCTGTTAACAGCCACACAGCTGCTGAGAACTGCTGCAGCTTTTCCACCCTGTGAGACTGGGGGGAGAATTTATCACATGAGGGCTTCAGAGGCACCAGGAACCCACTGGCCAGGCTGATAAACTGAACAGCCAACAAGATACTGAAGATGGTGTGATCTGGTAACAGATACAGACTGTGTTCTGTTCCTTCCCACGCCACTCCCAGGCTCTGAAGCGTGTGTATGGTACTGACTGCTGAGCAGAGGAGTGCAAAGGGAAGGTGCCCTGGGGCTTGTTGACCCGGGCAGGAGGGGGGCCTGGCTCTGGCAATGGGCTGAACCCGTGTTTCCATTTCCAAATGTGCAGACTGCAGGTTGAAAGTGACACTTGGACCTGTGACTGTCGCAACAGGCATTAGGGTTTGTGGGTTATGCTGTGTTATTGGAATAGGAACTGCTGTGGACCTTGAAGGAGGGAGGGAGTGGGATCATGGGGCAGAATGGTGGGAGATCAGTGACTGTATGCATCTATATATGTTGTAACTTCTCTTTCCACAATGGATGTTCTGCCCATTGTCTGATCCAGCTGCTACTCTGCTTAAGGACAGAGGTAAGAGGGTTGGAAAATAAGCAGCATGGGTATAGGGATATGCTGGGGTCTTGGCTGATGGAAAACTGCCTATGCACGATGGTGATAAGCCATTTGGATGCTGTATTGATCAGCTAATGCTGATCACTGAAGCACTTCAGCAAGAGGAGATGGATGCACCAAGCAAACCAAGAGCAGGTGTGAAATCACTGTAATAGAGCTAAAGCTTCGTAACAAATGGCTTTTGTGAATGCATTTGTTGGGATGGGCCTGACTTGCACTAGTTATGAGTTATTGCTACCTGTAGTTTGAACCCCATAGAGTGGATCTGTGTTTAATGATGGGTCAGTGACCGACCTCCCCCTTCCTGTGTTCTGCTTTTAGCTTGGAGGAGTTAAGCATCAGTAGAAAACCTGCTCAAACTCTTCCCGAGTCCCTGTGCTTGATGGGGTTGGTAAGACAAGTGCAAATCCTGGCACTTGGAAATGGAGCTGAGGAAAGCCTCCGTGGGAGCATTAGAACAAACTAATCCTTTACCTTCCACGAGAGACTGCTGTTTTTGTCCCATTTATAGGCTATGGAGAAGCCTCCCAGCACTGGAGGGCCTGTTCCTTCCACCTAAGCACTATCTTTATGTTGTGCACAAAGGCAAAAGCTAATTCTGAGCCTCTATCCAGGAGTGCAGCTTTCCTGCAGGCTGGCAGCTGCCATGGAGGGATGTATGGGTAAGGAGATGTTACACTGCTGGGTAAAGAGCAGGGTTAGGGGTTTATTCTCTTGCCTCCATTCTAGTCTGCGTGTTAGCTGTGATGCTTTGAAAGCTCCTTGTTTCAGTGCTGAGGGTTTAAGGGAAAGGAGCTATGGGAGGGGAGAATGTTGAGCATCTCTTACAGCGTTAGCAGCACTGAAGGTGTCCTCATGACTCTAAAGCTGCACTGACCCCTGGCCCAGGTCTCCAGCGTGGTGCTGCTGAAGGGTGTGTAGGCAGGCACTGCAGTCACTGCACAGACACTGTAATTCCTTTACTAAAACAAAGCCATTAAAAAGCATTGACAGGGGAATAACCAAAATAAACCTGACTCTCTCTGAAGCCCTTGGGGGGCTCATGCTGTGCTCTGGGGGAGCCCTTTCTTCAGAAGGGAGGTGAGATAGCTGCCCAGTTCTTCATCCTAGAGAGAGCAGAACAGAGAGAGACAGGATGAAAGCAGTCATCTGCTTGACTTGGCCATGTGGGCAGTAAATTCAACTCTGGTACCTAGAAATAGACTGAAGCCATTCTAATGTTAGCAGTGTTCATAAATGGAAGCAGCCCAGGCAGCACAGATGTGTTTCTGGGTGTTCTTTCATAACATCAATGTAAAACGCCATTTGGCAAAGGAGGTGTCTGGACTTGAGGTACCTCTTTTGAGGAAAATGACCTTTTGTCTTGAAAAAGAATATAGAACCATCGATTTTCCCTTTTTTGCCCTCAAGAAGGCAGCTCTTTGCTGTAAAAAGCATCTAAAAATGTAGCCTGAGAAGTATGCTTCTGAAAGGAAGAAAGATCACACTATGTCTGATGTTACCACGAGTTTGTGTTATCCTGCTTTCTGCTTGAGTTTCACACCTAACAAATACCTCCAATCTCCTTATGGCAGTAGTGGTGTAGCTTGGATTAGAAGCTGGGTACTGCATTGTCCTCAAAACACAGATATAACTGTAATTAACTCGTAATTCAATAATTGGAAAGTACATCTTGAAGAACACCAACCTGGTAGGTCCAGGACACGAGCAGAACTTTGGTTCCTTGATCCTCTGAGTGTGCCGTGGCTTGGATAAGGATGGACTCCACTGTTATAGACCCATCAGGGAGGTGCTGCACTGAGTAATCTTTCAGGACCCTGGTAAGAGAGAAGATAGAGGATTTAGTTTGGATGGGACGTGTGCAGGCTGAAGAGTGGTCTCCCCTGTACCTTTTAATCCCAAACACCAATGTGTTCACAGTGAAGAATGGGGCTGATTGGTAACTTAGTTATTTTGGTGCTTGTATTAATCACGTAGCATTTCCTACAGAATTTATTTCTGGCTCTCATGATGTGTATGGCTCCAGGCTGAACCTTGTTCATCCAAGCAAAGGACTGCTCAAAACTGACCACCTGCCCATAGGAAGTGTGTAAGGCTCATGTGCTACAACTACTGAATAGCTTTAAGAGGTGTCTTGACCCTACACTTGATACTGTCTCTCTAAACAATTGTACTAACTTCAGGTAGAAGCAGCAGTGAGAGCAGCAAGCCAACAGGAACAAAGATTTGGGGTGTTCTGCCTATGGCCTGGTAAAGACCAGGAGCTGGAAGTGATGACCACTGCTCTGGTTATGGGATCTACACAGACTCAAATCGAGAGCAGCTGAGTCTTTGGGGCTGCAGAGACTTTTCTCCTTGTAACTCGGGGGCTGCAGAAAGGAGGAAGCATTTGAACTGATCACTCTTAATGCAGGTGGGTCCAAGTGCATGCCTGTGGGGGAGCACCACAGGGAGGTAAGGCTGGCCTCACCCTTTGAGGTGGTTGTACACACGCAGCACGGTCTCGTGCTCCTTCCGCGGGTCCTGGATGTGGACGCGGCAGGTGAAGCGCAGCTGATGCTCCGCCAGGCCCAGCTCCTTCAGAGCCTGCTCGGGGGAAAGCAGGCGGAAGCTCTGCAGAGGGGGAAGCACAAACCATTACAGGGTGTTTGTGGAGCTCTGATCCTCCCCTGTGGACACACTGGTGCGTGTCCCTCACTGGGAAGCCCAGCAGTAACATCGCTCCCTTTCAGCCTCTGAACTGTCTCAGCACGTCTTGGGCAATCAGTAACAGCGAGGCACGAGCCTGTGACAGGCAGTGAAGGTAAAGGTAAGGTGGTGGCAGGATGCCCACCTCAAATGCCATATCAATTCTTTAGTTCCCAAAATCAATGTGAGAATCTTTTTACTTACGTTATCCTTCATCATTAATGTGCCATGCATGAGCTTTGGCTTCTTGACATCTGGTAAGAGACCTAAACCAAGGCCAAAGAAAGAAAGAGACCATGGTTAATGATGAAGTACCTACTTTTCACACAGACACCTGCTATAGGACTTAACAGTTTGGATTTCTGAGTCTTGCTGAGCTTCAGACTAGTGTTTTACATCTCCGTTCTCCTGTTGAAGTGCATGGTGCTTAAACCATCACCAGAACTTTAGACACAGAAGCCATGCTCAGTGATACAGACCTGCTGCCTCTTCCCACATCCCCTCCTGGTCTGAGAGGTTTCAGATTTGTCTTATTTTTCAGAATTTTCTTAAATATATTTTAACTTTATAAAATGTATCCAATTTTATAAACCTTATAAAAAGGTTTAGCAAAGCAGTTCAGACCTAGCGAGTAAAAACTTGCATGGACTTCGTTTCATAGCAATGGGCAATGAGCAGCCACCAAGGGAGTGTGTGTTTGTTACTGAACATTACTGATCACACACTCACAGCACAGTGGCTGCTGTGTGTCACAGGAAGCCCTCCCAACCTCTAAATGCTGATAAAACCTCTTCTTGTACAGGAAGCTCTGTTGTAAGTCCTCATAGCTGTTCCCAGTATATCGCTATTGCCACCTAATACAAGTACACCACGGTGGCAGGGCCCGACAGATGAAATTCTTGGTTGACAGTGTGTCACCTATGGCCGTTTCTCTCTTCAGGAGTCCCAGGGATATGTCCACAGGAATGCTGGGGTTGGTGAATATTGTTGTGGTCTCTCCATTGGCAGGCATGTAGCAGCTGACATCTGCAATGTACAGAACCTGTGTTAGGACAGCGGCTGCTGCAGCGGTTCCAAACCTGGACCAGGGATCTGTGAGCAGATGGAGCTGAGATTTATGGCAGAAGAATACTGCAGCTGTGTGGAAGAGGCTGAAAAGCACAACTGCTGCTCAGGCACCTTTACCAGAGCCACCAAACAAACCCCTGTGAGCCCAGCTGGCCTGAACAGAACAGACTGCACCAGAACCGCCTGCCCTCCGATGCTGACAGAACACTGCAGGCAGTAAGTAATCATCCAGTGTGAATTCTAGCCTTTCCCTACTGATTCCTTGCAAGTCAGCTGTTTCCAAGGAATTATGTCTTTTCCTGCAGCTCGTTCCCCTTAACTAAAGTTGCTGAAGTTACAGTTTCAGATGTACCCTGCCTGCCTTGGCTGGTAATACGATTATGAGCTTCTATGATTCCAATACAAATTCACTAACTGAATAATGATACATTAATGATAAGCTATATCTAATATAATGATACAATGATAAGCTGTATCTCATATAATGATACAATAATGATAAGCTATAATGATACAAACATCACAGAACAACTTGAACTTCAAGTCCAAATGGGCATTAAGAGTTAAATGGGCTTAACCTGTTAAATAAGGTATGTTATGGATACTAGTTTCCTGAGGATGACTGGTCCTGTAAATTACATTACACCTAATTCTGTGCTGAGGTCCAGTGGATTAAATTTAAAGCCAGGCTGGACAGAGGGGCTTGGAGCAAGCTGCTCCAGTGGAAGGGGTCCCTGCCCGTGGCAGGGGTTGGGACTGGAGGAGTTTTAAGGTCCCTTCAACCCAAACCAGGCTGGGATTCTATAAAACCTGTGACCTTTACTGCCTGCTTTCTGCCCCCACTCCCTCTTCAGTACCAGCACCATACGTACGAAATTCCTGTTCTATTTTCTGCTTCAGAAACTCCATTTTCTTGGCTTCCCCGTGGACCAGGAGAACATTCCGAGGCTCAGCCTGGCGAATCAGCTGCATGATCCCCTTGGCATCTGCATGCGCACTGAAGGACATGTACTCCACCTGCATCTTCACTTCCAGCTGTGGAGGAGCAGAAAGCACAGACTGTGCATCTGGAACAGTGCGTGTAACACACACAGACAGACCACAACTCCTACTGAATTTAGTTTAAAGAAGGAAACAGAACTGAGTTTCCCAATGGATTGGGAATGAACCTCATTTCCCGGTGAAGTGAGGCTGGAGTCAGAGCTGCTTGGCAGCAGATGCTGAATATGATGCTGCACAGAAAAGCTTTTAATAAGTTAAGGGCTCAAAGTACCCAGTTTCAGAGCACAAGACTTGTAGCACATTTGCCAAAACAAATCAATACTGAAGGAGAGCTGGTATCAGTTTAATGCCACCATCTGCCTAAAAATGTATACTTTTTACCTGACTTAATGGGGCCTAATTATTAATCAGTATAAATATGCCCTGAGAAAAGCTTATGGCAGAAAAAGACAAGGTGGTGGCAATGCAAAGGGGAACCCCCCCAGTCCAATACCAAAGAAAATGTCCCTTGGGTGTTTTCCATGCTGTATGTGGCACATTCCCATTACGTGGGCATGGTGTTTAACTGCCACCTCCAGTTCTGAAGAACTTCCCCCAGATGATCCCCCTTGAAAATCAAACCTACTATTTGCCTTCCTTCCATCTCCAGCTTGCGCTGCCCACTCAGGATCTTGTGGCCTACGGTTCCCTGCACGCAGTAGCCAGGCATGATCACCTGAGGAGGAGAGCAGAAATGCTCCAGACACGCACAGACACATGGACTGTGTTGTTATCATAACCACATCAGCATTATGCAGTTGTGGATGTAAGTTTGTGTTCTTCCCATTTAGACAGAACCATCCTCTGCCCCCAGCTGGTTCTCTGCAGGACTCATGTCATGTAAAGAGGAAAACCTTTCCTGCAACATTTGTTCTTATCACAACCACTCATATGATAATACATATGGTATGATCAAATATAAAATATGATATATATCATTATATATATACCCATCATATCCTATTATAACATTAAATTATGATATTTGATAGCTTATGCCATTTTATATTATGATCTACAATAGGTGATGAGATTATATGATAGAATACAATAGAATGTAACAGAATATAATAGCATATGCTAGGATATATATTTATAGAATATCATATGATATAACAAATTATAGTAGACTATGATATATATGAAATGATAGGGTATAGTAGAATATGATATAGTATAATATACCACATATATCATACTCTATTGGATTCTGTTACATTCTATTACATTGTATCATCTCATATCATATTCTAGTTTAGCATATCATATAAATTTATGTCATATTATGTCATCATATCTTATATAATGTAATAAATATCATTGTTACATTCAGTAGCATTCTATTACATTCTGTTATATTCTATCAGATTCTGTTATATTCTTAAACGCTATCATATTCTGTTATATGCTATTATACTCTGTCATTCTACAACGTTGTTACACTCTATCATAATTATTGTAATCTGTTATATTAGCCTATCATAGTCTGTTATATCCTGTAACATTCTAGCATATTCAGTTACATTGTTATATTCTATCATAGAATATCTTCTATCACATTCAGTTATATTCTGTTAGTCTGTCAGATTCAATCATATTCTGTTAGATTTTATCATATTCAGTTGGATTCTGTCAGATTCTCTAACATTCAATTATTCTGTTAAGATTATACCATATTCTATTATATTGTTACATTCAATTATATTCTGTCAGATTCTATAATATTATGTTGCATTCTGAAAAAGCAATCATTGTTATAGTTTATCAGCTTCTGTTACATTCTGCCATACTCTGTTACATTCTATTATATTCTATCAGCTAGTCTGTTACGTTCCATTATATTACATTCTATGATCTTCTATTACCTTCTATTCTGTTACGATAGTATCTAACATGATACAATATAATGTAACATATAATATATGCAATATGATCTAGATATCTTGATATACCATGGCAGGGTGGTTAGAACTAGATGATCCCAAGGTCCTTTCCAATGTATTACGGTTCTCTGTATAATATGATAATATAATGCATATAATGTTATCATATTAATATAAAACATCACAGAAGGAAACAGGATTTCTCACCATATTCTTTTCATTCCCAGCCCATTTCCTGAAGATCTGAAGGGACTGTCCTGCATGGAGCATGCCAGGGGTTGCAAACACCACCTGCAATTCAAAGATGCATCAAGAATCACCACAGGAACCAGGGGGTTCTCCCATTAAATACCCTGAAACTGTGGAGACTATCCAGTGATGCCCATTGGAGCACATTAACTACATCTCCTGCTTTGTCCAATTGTCACATCAGTTCAACTGCTTTGTAGGAGATTCTGTGAGCATCCACAGTGTGCTAAGAACTTCAGATGGTTTTATCTTGGTCCTGTTCCTCTTTCAGCTGCTGCCTAAGACACCTGTCAGAAATAAAGCCAGTAATAAGAGATCTGTGTTGGAAAGGCTCATGCCCACCTACCATGGGCCCTGGGTTGTCTGCAAAGGCCCGGTCAAAGGCTTTGATGTGTTTGAATTCAAACATGTTCCTCTGCACAAAGGTTTTCCGAATCTTCTGGTTGGTCCAGGTGATGAAGAGCTTGTAGTAGTGATTGGCCTTCTCTGTCAGGCCTGTGGAGAAGTAAATTGGAGCCTTCAAGTTCATCCTTTCCCTGTAGGAAGAACAGTTCCAGATACCAGTGAGGGACTAATGAGCATCCCAGCTATCCAGTGCTGGAAGTCCATAAACCTATGAAGTCTCCCTAGGCTTTGTGCACATACCCTACTCTCAGTGAGGTACATGATAAAACAGTTGTATACAAATGCCAACACTGCCACATCCCTGTGCATTAACTTACTACAGAGTAGCTTTAATCTAATTTTCCTTCCACCCACTGCAGCCACCTTTCCATTACAAATATTAATCATTCTGCTAGGGGTTTTAATACCAAATGATAATGCTCATAATTACACATTATATGTAAGTCTCATATCCATCCTTTGCCCTGCTCCCCTGAAGACAGTTTTACAGTGCAGCAAAGATGCAATCCATGGTTTAAAGGACTGTAAACTGATCCAGAGTGGTTGGGGAGTAGTGGAGAATGACCAGGGAGAAAGAAATGGTTAACTTGCTGCTTAGAGTCAGCAATGCTGGGAAGTAAATGGGAAGAAGTAATTCCATAATCAACCACCAATCCTATGTCCTAAACAGACACGAAAGGAGGACAAAAAGGAGGTGGGACATGCAAAAAACCCGCACTCACCAGAAGGTTTCCAACAAAATGCACAGTTCCTGGGCACGTCCAAGGGCAAAAACAGGGATGAGAACCTGCAATTGAGGGATGATTTAGTCTGTGAAAGCCAGACTGTGTGTAAACGGTTATCAGTTCTGAACAAGTCCCTCTCACTGGCTGAGACTCTCTTTCCTTTCCACAACTGAGGTACTGAAGCATCGTTTACTGGGTGATAAAAGTGTGTGTCTTCCATGCACTTGGAGGGGCTTATGGTAACAGAACAGTGCTGAACACCATGCAGCAGGATACTGAACAGACCTGGCTACACTGGAGAGCATTCCTGATGAAGTTTAAAAGCAGTAATAAAACACTTTTAGTTCCTTAATTTACAGGACCAAGAGGATGTTTCAGGGTTCGGATGCAGATCAGTTTTGCCTTTATCCTCCATATTTGCAGAGTGTAAGCACAGCATTTCCCTACCTGCCTCATGAACTCAGCCTGGTTTCTTGGTGCAGTTTAAGTGTTCAATAGTCTCTATTTTAAAATACAGATGGGGGAATACAAAAGTGCCTTTGGTTTCAGGTAGTGGTGTCATGTAGGTGCCCAAGTTAATCAGTAGGGAACAAGAGCTTCACAAAGGAAAACCCCCATCACTTAGGTTATCAACCCTCGGTACCTTTCCTCCTCTTTCCACAGTCTCATGAACTTTCTTCAGGAAGTCTCTTTCTCTGCAGCGCTTGGAGTCTCGGATGGTTGTGGCATAGGTGGATTCAGTGATAAGTAAATCCGGGCGACACTTATCGATCCAGGCAGCACTAGAACAAGAGGAATTCAATCAGATGAAGAGCTGGTGTGTGGCATTTCTGAGCCATGGAGAATGGCGCAGGCTCATCTGCAGACAAGAGAACAGGTACACAGATGTGCATCAGCCTGCCCAAAGTCACAGAACAGACTTGAAAAGCCAGTCTTCTACTTGCTTTAAATGCATTGAGATAATACTCTAAATATCACTGATAATATAAATCTCTCATATGCACCAGTAAAATTAAATGAACATCAAAATCTGTGATTGTCACTCTAAAAACTAAACGCATTTAGAAGATATCATGACCAGAAAATGTTTTAAACACAGAAGTCCTATTATTATACAGCCTTAAAAACGTATTATTATGATCATACAGAAGAAGGTCTATGCGGAAGACTCAATGTAATCCATTCACTAAACGTTCCAGTCTCCTAACAAAGAATCAGTGCTGAAAGCCCCTGGTATGAACAGCATACAGCAATACCCACAGTTCAGCAACTCAGCTTCCTACTTACCCTAAATGTCTGTCTGGTGTCATGTTATAATCACCCTAATGGAAGAGGAGAATTCCATTAACATTCTCTAAGCAATGACACAGGGCAGTAGAAGGGGTCTGTATTTAGTTGTATATACTCACAGTGTACACGACCGACTCGCACCCAACCTTGATCTGGAACATGGCTGCTCCCAGTACGTGGCCTGCGTAGTAGGCCTTGATCTCCAGCTCCTCATCCACCTGCACCAGGAGGCAAACACTGTGTTAGTGCAAACACCTCGGAGAAACCCAAACCCGCTCTGCCTTCCCCAACCACCCCGCTGGTACAACCCATGAGGGTGCAGAAGCCATCACTCACCTGCACTGTCTGGTGCAGATGCACAGCAACCACTTTTTTCATGCAGTCTTTAATCATTTGGGAAGTGAAGAAGTTGGTTTCCCCTTTCTTGTCTACAGTAATTTTCCTGTAGTCCTCCAGCAGGATGGGGCAGATGGCCTTGGTAGGATGTGTCATGTAAATGGGCCCATCATAACCCACCATCTCACTGAAATAGGGTAAAGCTCCACAGTGGTCCAGGTGGAAGTGGCTGCAAAAAGACACAGAGGATAAAGGATGCACAGGAACCCAGCCTGCCTGGTTCTTGGCTCCTCAGGTTTTTAAATGGCCAAATGTCAGTGACCAGCTCACAACAGGCTTGGGTTGCTAGGGACAGTGCACAAAGCGTTCCCATTTCCCATCTGAGCTCTGCCAGGGAAGGCAGGGACCTGTCTCACCTGATGATCACGCAGTCCAGGAAGTCCGTCAGCCTCCCATTCTGGGTGATGTAGGAGAAGTCAGGAAAGCGCCTCTGCAGAGACATGAAAAACCGAGTTACCCATTGTAACACAAACCCAGCTACTATCATGCTACTAACCCAACACAACAACCATGTGTAACCCAACACAATGACTGTGTGTACCCGAACACAATGACTGTGTGTAACCCAACACAACAACCACGTGTAACCCAACACAACGACTGTGTGTACTCCAACACGACTGTGTGTACCCCAACACAATGACTGAGTAACCCAACACAACTGTGTGTAACCCAACGACTAACCCAACACAACCGTGTATAACCCAATGACTATGTGTACCCCAACATGACCGTGTGTACCCCAACACGACCGAGTAACCCAACACAACTGTGTGTAACGCAACGACTGTGTACCCCAACATGACTGTGTGTACCCCAACACAATGACCACGTGTAACCCAACACGACTGTGTAACTCAACGCAACTGTGTGTAACCCAACACAACCGTGTGTAACCCAACATGACAACCGTGTGTACCGCAACACGACTGCATGTACCCCAACACAACAACCGTGTGTAACCCAACGACTGTGTCTACCCCAACACAACAACTGTGTGAATGACCCGAAACACTGGGAACGTGCCCTATGGAGCATTTATGTGCAGAGAGAGTCAAAGAACAGGAGGGGGGCAACCAGAGGAGAGACCTTGCAGACAAACAAATTACAGCCAGGTTTATGTTCAGCTTTAGCTCACCCATGGGCACTAAGGCAGGAAGCCTCCAAACCTTTCCTACAGTGGCACAGTTGCTTTAACTCTGTCTCATCTTACACAATAGTTCTGCCATTATTCCTCTCGTCTAATTTCAGGTGGCTGAACATCAGGAGTTATTTCCTAGCTCTCTCTAAAGCATCAGAGATGGTGGTGCAGATCCCACAAGTAATTCACTGCCCATGACCAAGCATCATGTCAAGAGCAGACTAACTACTGACAGCAGTAATGCTTTCAAGCACAGAAGGTGCCTGCCCATATGAAATACAGAAAGACCCAAGCCACCTGAAGGCAGCATTCACAGCTTGCTGCGTGTACTTCCACAGCCCAGGGAAAGGGTGGCCGGACGGTGGCACTTCACAGCCCAGGAATACACAAGGGGATGCACCTCTTGCACAGAAGGCTTTGAAGGGGCAATACTTCATTCTCTGCCATAACTCAGCTCCAGCAGTGGCTGGTAGCAGCCCAGGGACACCCACCTTGCTATTATCACCCCTGTGACACATTGGATGAGCCAGGCAGTGTTCAAGTAAAAGGGAACAACAGTGGAACACTGACCCAAGAGCTGGGAACAGGCAGGCACATGCACCTGGAGAGCATCTCCCCACCTCATCCAGGCTTCTCCATACTCACATCATCGTTGTAGCCCATGTGCATGCCGCAGTCCAGCATTACGTTCTTCCCAGCAATAGACACGAGGATACAGCTGCGGCCCACATCCTGCCCAGCTCCTGGACCAGACACAAGTAAGAAACCTCTGCTGTATCCGCAGTCACTTCAGGAGAGCAGCACTAAAGGGCCATGAACACCTCGTAGCCCTTTCCCAGCGCAGGAAAAGGCTCCATCCCTTCTTCCAAGCAGATGTGCCAGAGGGCAGCTAACATGAACTGGTCTGTCCCATTCCCTGGGCTCACAAGAGACCGTCCACTTCCAAACCTGCAGTAAATGCAGATGGATCCAGCCCGGAGCAGTTCAGGGCAGGACATGGCTGCTCTCTGCCCACCGCTTCAAGAGCAGGGTTTAGGATGGAACTCAAGGCTCCCAGGGCTCTGCACCTCCCCAGGGACTCTGCCTCCCACCGCAAGCACCAGAGACCTTCATTAAGCTCCAGTTATGCCCATACCAAGCTGGAAAGCTGCCTGTGAGGGTACAGCAGCACATCCTCTGCCCTCTCAGTATGTGAATGCATCCCAACGGATTCCATGCAACCCACAGAGGACAAAAGGGGGGGGAAAGACAGCAGTGTGCTTCCTGTGGATCTTCAGCACTGTTCAGTGAATGGATTACCTGTTCTGTACAACACACTGACTCCTTTCCTAGTGTGTATTAATCACAGAATAGTTTGGGCTGGAAAGGACTTTAAGATCACCCAGTTCCAACCCCCTGCCATGGGCAGGGACACCTCACACTATAAACCATGGCACCCAAGGCTCTGTCCAACCTGGCCTTGAACACTGCCAGGGATGGAGCATTCACAACCTCCCTGGGCAACTCATTCCAGTGCCTCACCACCCTCACAGGAAAGAATTTCCTCCTTCTATCCAATCTAAACTTCCCCTGTTTCAGTTTGAACCTGTTACCCCTTGTCCTATCACTACAGTCCCTAATGAAGAGTCCCTCTCCAGCATCCCTATAGGCCCCCTTCAGATACTGGAAGGTTGCAATGAGGTCTCCATGCAGCTTCTCTTCTCCACGCTGAACAGCCCCAACTCTCTCATTGAACCCTGTAACTAAAACAGAGCCATTGGGGCTGTTGGAGCCTTGCTTGGAAGCCGGGAGGAGGCCAACTAACCGCTGACAAGGCTCGGGCGGGCACACTGCTCACCCATACAGGACACACGGCGCCGTGCACCCAGCGCCGCGGCCAGCCCCGGCGGCACACGGGGGTCCTGTGGGCTCCGCAGGGCCAGGTTCCCAGCGTCCCTGCCCCAGCACTTACCCAAAGGGGTCACTTTTATCTCCGGCATCTGAACTCGATTCACATCCCGTGCGGGACGGCACAAATCACCTCACAAACAGCCGCCATAAGGCCCCATCACCGCCGCCGCCACCTCAACCGCTCCTCAGCACCAGGCCGCAGGTTCCTGGCTGCTTCCTGCAGGGACGAGAGAAGACACAATGAGCCTCACGCAGGGGCCACTGCCGGCCCCTCTGAGCCCACCCCGCTCGGCTCCGCACCCCGGAGCTCCCGGCCCGGCCCTGCCCTCACCCCTCGGCCCTCCCGGCGGCTCGGGCCCTGCTCCCCATCTCCTCTGAGCGCATGCGCGGCGCAGGCTCCGCCCCGCAGTGATGGGGCCATGGCGGCGCCGGCCGCGTTCAGCCTGCGGGAGGTGCTGGGCGCCTTCGAGGCCTGCGTGACGGAGCAGCGGGAGGTGCTGCTCGGGCCCTACCTGCGCGGCTGGCGGGGGCTCATCCGGTGAGTGCCGGCGGCGGGGGCGGCTGTCACGGCCCCGCTGCCGCCGCCGCCCGTAACGCTGTGTCCGCTGCAGGTTCCTGCACAGCCTGGGCGCCGTCTTCTCCTTCATCTCCAAGGACGCGGAGGCCAAGGTGCAGCTGATGGAGGGGTACTGCTGCGGCGAGCGGCGGGAGCGGTACGTGTCCCTGCAGTCCATGGTGCAGTACGAGCTGGCCAGCGGCCTGGTGGACCTGCACAAGCGGTCGGGCCGGCCCGATTCCGGCTGCCGCACGGTGCTGCGGCTCCACCGCGCCCTGCGCTGGCTGCAGCTCTTCCTGGAGGGGCTGAGGACGGGCGGGGAGGACTCGCGGCCGTCCGCGATCTGCACGGACTCGTACAACGCCTCCCTGGCCGCCTTCCACCCCTGGGTCATCCGCAAGGCCGCCACCGTGGCCTTCTGCGCGCTGCCGCCGCGCAACGCCTTCCTGGAGACCATGAACGTGGGCTCGGCCGAGGAGGCCGTGGCCGTGCTGGGGGAGGCCTTGCCCCACATCGGCGCCGTCTACAGCATCACCCAGGAGCTGTTCGCGCAGCACCGGCTGCTCGAGCTGCCCTAGGGCCGCTCGGGAGCCGCGTCCCGACGGGAGCAGGGTGGCAGCGATGCTTGCACGGGCAGGCGGGGTCGGGGTCGCATTCCCTTTCCTTTCCCACTGTGGAGCTCTTGAGGATACCTCACTTTGTAAGAGCACACACACCTCCTGGTTCTGTATGTGTGTGTCTGTGTTGGCTCTGCAGGAAGAGAAACACAGTGTGCTCATGGGATAGAATAGCCTATGGTGGAACAGACCTTAAAGATGCTCTGGGTCCAGCTCCCCAGCGGGTCTGGGTTTGCTTTTTCTTTAAGCCAAACTCTGCAGCTGCAGCAGCTTCCGTGCACCGACGCCAATAGCTGGGCCATTGAGTGGCAGCACAGCTCCAGGAGCGGTGGCTGAGCACATCCGCTCCCCCTGAGCTCACGCTGGTTACAAGCTGTTTGCCCCCTCTTTTGCTTTAGCCTTGGAAACAGAGCCCTGAGCGATGCATGGCTGAAAGGAAGCGCTTTTCCATGTGGTCACAGACTCATTTGCTTACTGCTGCTCATCCTGTGTGCCCCGAGCTGAAGGAGGAAAGGGTGCTCTGTGAGACGGTTCCTCTTGGTGCACAGAGCCATTAAGCAGGATCTTCCTTCCCTGTAGCTTCCCCTGCCCATTCATCTCTGCTTTATGCACCTTGTGATGTAGAACAGCTTTAGCAGGTAGTCAGTCCTGCCCGTCCGGCCACGCTCCTAAATGTGCTCTCATTAATTCTGCTTAATGAATGTGTCAGTCTCATTAATTCTGCTTAATGAATGTGTCAAACGCTCACAAAATAACTTCTCTGCTTGGCTGGGGGCAAATCTGAACTGGGAGTCACTGCTCTGGGAGGCTCCTATTGCAAATCACTGTATGTAATCGCCAGTGTGTGTGCATATACACACCGCCAAGTATGTGGAATAGAGTTTGCTTCAGCTTTCTAAATGCTGGAAAAGCACTCCAGGATGTGAGGAATACCTGGGGGAAGAGGGGGAATCTCACAGGAGTTGATTGTGTCTCAGTAGAGCCATTGTGGCCTGCTGGAACAGCAGGGATTCAGGAAATCACGGTTACCTCATGGAGATTAAACTGACTGGACATTAAATTGTGTGAATCACACCGTGCTTCTGCAGTGTCCTTTGTAGAGCGCTTGCTGGGTTTGGGGTGTTGGACGGAGCAAGACTCGGGGTTCCCCATTCGGGCCTTGTCCTTCACTAGCAGAGTCTGTTTCACTGGGTGGCCAGATATGGACCCATCAGGAGTAACCCAGATGTGGACCCATCAGGAGTAACCCAGGTGAAGCCAGATGCTGTGCACTGAGCTCCTGTTCTGACTGCTCCCATCTGCCAACGCTGTCCTTTGCCTGAGGATAGGAAGTGGAAGTTCCTTGTATGTCCTACCAGGAGGTTCATTCGTTCTGCTGTGAACACACAAATACTATTCCCTTTCTGCTAAGATCACCTTAAAACAATTAAACAGCTCCATAGGATAAATCCATGTATTAAAATGGGGCAGTTCCATGGTACAGACTACAAAACATTGGGCCTCGCTTGCTGTCTGATAGAGATGCAGGTGGTATTTCACCTGTGTCATGTACTAAATGCCTTAAGCTATGTCAGCTAATGTCTGTCAAGTGGAAAGAATGGCTCTGCTCTCTTTAGGTTTAATGCAGAAATGGGAGTTACAGCCACATGGGAAAACTGCTTCTCCTCTTCTGAGAGAAACAGACAGTCATGTTGAGGATGAACTTGGTTCCTGCCATTAACGAATCAAACTTGCTCAGCAGGGGAAAGAACTCAGTAGTTTACATCCAGTCATTCTGGGCAAAGGATGCTCCCAGTAAAGCAGCTTTCCCCCAGCTCTCATTTACACAAGCCACTGCCTCGTGCTCATTCTGTTCCCCTGGTGCCCGGCCCTGTCTCCAAGCAGAAACCTTTTTAAGAGCCCCACTTCAGTCACCTCGGAGTAGAACTGAGGGTCCTGCACTGGGCTTTGGGCAATTCAGTCTGGAGCTTTCATGAGTGGGGCCAAATCCCACCTTCCCCTGCAGGGAGCGGTGGTACTCGAGAGCTGCAGCAGGGGACACATTCACTAGAGGGAGGTGGGATATTGTGCACACAAATCCATCACATAAACTCCGTCCTTGCCACCTGATCCCACATGGAAGCACAGATGGCTGTAAATAATTCCCTATGACTTCTACACTTTTCTCTATGCAGCTGAATTTGTGTTAGAACCTTTTACAAGTTACACAGTTAAAGCTAATACTTAAATATCCCATTAAGGGGAAGACAACCTTAAAAGGATGTCACTATAAACTTACCTACAGAACATACATAAATGTATCCATGTAACATATAGAAGCATATCATGTATATGAACATATCCATATAACATGTATGAACACATCCATAGAATGTATATGAACACATCCATATAATGTCCAACATATAATGTATATGAACACATCTATATAATGTATATGAACACATCCATAGAACATATATGGATATATCCATATAACATATATAGGAACCTACAACTATTGTTGCCTGAAGTACTCCTATACCCTTCATACATACTCTACCCTCACAGCAGCAGAGGGCCATCACTTTGCCACTATCAGCAGGTTTTGTGGTACACTATAAATATAACATAAGCCACGGTATAAATATAACATAAGCCAATAAAATGCAGCAAATGGAACTTTCCAGTTCAGAGCAAACCTGATACAATGCAAAGCGTGACACAACCTGAA